CTAAGATAATAAGCATCACCAGCGGTGATGGGGAGACAAGGGAGCACACCAAGTAGGTTCCCTGGAGGGGATGCCTGAGCTGAGACCCCACTGTAAACAGGAAAATGACCCAAAGGAAAAGGAATGGGGGGCAAGTACAACCAGGTGGCGACCAGAGGGTGAGAGAGCCTGAGGATGTGAGGAAAAGCAGCCCCGTGTGTGGCGGACACACAGCGGGTGGGGGGCTGGTGATGGGAGGGCTAGATCTAGAGCAGTTTCTCTCCCTCCACACTGTCCTCTGGGGTGCATTGCAGGATACTGAGCAGGATCTCTGGGCTCTACCCACTGGATGCCAGTAGCACCCCCCCCAACTGTGACAACCCAACAAGTCTTCAGACACTGTCCCCTGGGGGGGAAATCACCCCTGGTTGAGAACCACTGGGTTAAAAGACTTGAAGAACAGCCCAGAGATGGGGAAACCTCCAGAGCCTAGCATCAGCTGTAAACAGCCTAGGCCTGAGGGGCCAGGGGCCAGGGACCAGGGCCAGGATCACCAGGACTGACACAGGACAGCAGAGAGTGGAGAATACGGGAGAAACACCTAACAGGAGCTGTAGCCACAGCCACTCACTGCGGCACTCAGAGGCAGGGGGCCAGGGAATCCAGGCGGTATCTCCCAGGGCAGAGAATGGCTTTGGGGACACACAAAGACCAGCTGCGGGGCACAAATGCATCGATATGTGTAGCGTGGAACAGTGAGCAGAGGGGCTGGAACGAGCACACTGAAGGCCCAGCACAGGGGACAGCTCCCCTGAACATTCTTTGCCCACCCTCCAACCCTCTCTGCCAACGCTTCTCTGGCTCTTTTCTAGCTGGTAAATTGGAAGCCAAAGCAGCTCTGAACCAGGCCCTGGAGATGAAACGCCAAGGCAAGCGGGAAAAGGCCCACAAGCTCTTCCTGCACGCCCTCAAAATGGACCCGGACTTCGTGGATGCCCTCAACGAGTTTGGCATCTTTTCAGAAGAGGATAAGGACATCATCCAGGCGGATTACTTATACACCAGAGCGTTGACCATATCGCCCTACCATGAGAAAGCGCTGGTCAACCGGGACCGTACACTGCCGCTGGTCGAGGAGATCGACCAGAGGTATTTTAGCATCATCGACAGCAAAGTGAAGAAGGTCATGTCCATCCCCAAGGGCAACTCCGCGCTGCGCCGGGTCATGGAGGAAACTTACTACCATCACATCTACCATACGGTCGCGATCGAGGGCAACACCCTCACCCTCTCAGAAATCAGGCACATCCTGGAGACCCGCTACGCTGTGCCGGGGAAAAGCCTGGAGGAGCAGAACGAGGTCATTGGCATGCACGCAGCCATGACGTACATCAACACAACACTAGTCTCCCGCATCGGGTCTGTCACCATCAGCGACGTGCTGGAGATCCATAGGCGTGTGCTGGGTTACGTGGATCCAGTGGAAGCTGGCAGGTTTCGGACGACACAGGTCCTCGTGGGACACCACATCCCTCCCCATCCTCAAGATGTGGAAAAGCAGATGCAGGAGTTCATCCAATGGCTCAACTCCGAGGATGCCATGAATCTGCACCCAGTGGAGTTTGCAGCCTTGGCCCATTATAAACTGGTTTACATCCACCCTTTCATCGACGGCAATGGAAGGACCTCACGCCTGCTGATGAACCTCATACTGATGCAGGCAGGCTACCCACCCATCACCATCCGCAAGGAGCAGAGGTCTGAGTACTACCACGTACTGGAGGTCGCCAATGAAGGCGACGTGAGGCCATTCATCCGCTTCATTGCCAAGTGTACGGAGACCACTCTGGACACCCTGCTCTTTGCCACAACGGAGTACCCGGTGGCACTGCCTGAAGCCAAACCCAACCACTCCGGGTTTAAGGAGACCTTGCCTGTGAAGCCCTAACCCTGGAAATCCTCCCTGGGTGACAAGGGATGTCCCGAGGCAGGGGAAACCTTAGCATTTCTAGAAACCTAATTGTCTCCTAAAGCAAAAGGAGACAGAAAAAGAACTTAAACATTCTTTACCTCCAGATGTTTTAGTTCAGAAAAAGAAAACCTAAATTATTAAGCCTGATCTGTAAGGTAACTTATAATTCAGCCCAAGTTATTATTTATTTTCTTCTGTGGGGCTAGTAAATGTTGTGTGGTGTCCGCTGTCTGCACTGGTGGCCCGAAGGAGGCTTTGGGGGCATCAGTGCTCTGTGTGTGACCAGAACACAGGTTCTGGAGCAGAATTTGCACTCAAGTGGGGAGAGGCCAGAAGTATGGAAGGAGGTCCAGAAGCCATAGGAGAAACTCCTCCAAGTGCCCTATGACTTGACCTGAGAGGTCAGCACTCTTGGGGAGAACCTGGTCCCGGTTTTGAGAAATGACTGAAAGCTTGCTTCTACAAAGAGATGGGCGTTGTGACTAATTCTCACTGGTAGAGCAAACTTTGGAGATACGAAATAAAATTAATGTTGACAACATTTCTAGTTAGATACCTTGCTCATTTCAAGGAGGTCCTTGAGTCCTACCTAGTTAGTTCGCAGACTCTAGTACCAGAGGCTGTTAACATTCCCTCATCAAGACTGTTTTTCTAATTAAGAATAGGGGAGTGGCCAGTTAGGTTTTCTCTGTGTATAAAATGTTTCTTGCACTTTGTTTGCAGCAACTCAGACCAGACGTTTTAGTCTACAAGTCCTCTGCGCTTGTCACACAACTGAATCCTAGCGCAGATCAGGTATTGTACGAGTATCCAAGTCTGCCCTCACTGACCCTTCGGTGGAACACCTCATGTAGGTAGATATTCGAGAACACATCTAAGAAAACAGCTGCCACGTCAACACCAAATAAGCCTTTTCGATAATGAATTAGAGGGAGCTGCTAGCAAACCAAGAAAACCCTTTCACCCAGCCAGGAGGTGTCCCTTTTGTCACGCAGTCTTCCCCACTTACTGACTCCGCGCCCACCTTCCCCAGCCCTGGTACTGTCCCGCATCCCCTAGGGGAAGCTGAAGAGATTGCCTTGGAGTGGCCTTATTTTTCTAACAACTTGTAAAATGATAAAATGTCCCATGTAACGCGGCCAAGTTTCCAAGTCTTCATTCTATGGAAGAAGCCTCCTCTCTACCAGTAGCATGTTGGCCCAGGTGCCGAAATGGCCACTGCTGTGCTGCTCAGACTCCAAATGGCCACAGGCTCCTTTCCCAGCGGCAAAGCATGCTGTCGTGCCCTGGGTCGGCGTCAGAATGTGGTGAAAACATGCAAAGTCACACCCTGACAGCAAGGAGGTCACTCTTCTGAGGTGGCAGGTGTTTCTATAGTTATTTAACTGTGTAATAGGCACAGAGTAGCTTTCTGAACGATTAAGAAAAAGCTGTGTGAAGTGGCCCCAAGGGATATTCAAACCTTTATAAAAAGTATTTTCATACTCGTATGCTGCCATAAGGTCTCTCGGCAACCTGAACTCTCCTATCGTCTTGGTTTTATAAGCACACCAAGAAAGCCTGACAGAAGTACATGCTTTGTCATAGAATCGTGCACTTTAGCTCTGTTGTAAAGGAGGTTATTTTAACAGATTACTGACTCTAATAAAGTATTTTATTACATAAAGGCCTGAGACCCTGCCATCTTATTCAGGCAGTGTTCCCGTCTGTCACAAGGATGAAGGAGGAATCCTCTCGGAACATCAAGCCCCGTTTGTACTGTGGTATGAGACACCCGTCTCGACCAGCAGATGAGACGGAACTATGGGGGGACGCCACCTACCTGCGCTGGCAGGCCTGGTCTTCTGCTAACACGCCAGTAACGCAAATGGTGTTTCGTGCTTCTCTTTACCATCAGTTCTTGATTTCCTGGGGAAAACACATAAACCCACTCACATGTTCCTGACAGTCCGTTTCACGGACCATCCACACCCTGAGCCCAAGTCTGAGTGGGTTCAATTCTGTAATGAGCCTGTGCTGACACAAGAAAGCATGAAGTGAGGGCCGAAGACAGGCCAACAGCAAGAGAGCGGAACAGTGAAATGGGCAGTGGCAGGAGTGAATCCATGTCAGCCTGGACTAGGGAGGAGACACTCAGGGCTCCTCGATTGCAGGCCCTGCATGTCCCCCGTCTGCTCACCTCACCAACAAGCTTCCATGGGGTGGGGGTAGGGGGTTGGGAGAGGTTGGTGCCCATTCCAAGGAACACAGGAGGGACCAGGGACACAGCATGTGTTCTTCTGGCCACTATGAATTTAATTCACAACTAACACCTAACAAAAAATGTTTTGTGAAAAGGAGAGACAAGGTAGAGGGGACCTGTTAGATTAAAAGACTTCAGATGTTTATCAACCTACCCTAACTTCCCAGGGTAGGTGGGGGGATGCACTTATAAAACAGGAAACTAGGAATTTGGATAGTTGAGGACCTTAAGGCATTACTGCTCATGTTTCTAGGAGTAATGACAAAACCATGGCCTGTAGGGCCTTATCTCTTGGAGGCACTTGCTGTAGTCCCTGGTTGGGAGGGCTGGCGGGCAGGGGGTGGGGTACTGTGATGTCTGACACAGCCTTCAATGTAACAGGGAGGGCGGGTGCAGCAGAGATGAAGGACCCTGTGCTAGACGGATGCTGAAGCTCAAGGACGGGCACTAGAGTTCCTTTTGCTCTTTTGTCAACACTTTTGGATGACACTTCCAATTTCCCATTAAAAATGTAGTAAAGGCTGATGTACAAAATTAAAAAACAGATAAAGTGGGTTGATTTCTAGCACGCATGAAAGCATTTCCTGATTTCTTCTCCCAGAATGTCTTGATAAAAAAGTTGTGTTTCCCTACTGAACTGGGAACATGGCTTTTAAAATAATAAATATTTGATAAGAGATGAAGATAAAAAGTAAAGAAAGAAAGAAATAAAACCCTAGAAACTGAAGGGCCAAAATGCAGGAAAGCCAAGTTTAAAACTGAAGACCCAGAACAACTGAAATGATTGAAATCAAAGGGACAACGGGATCTGACTTACAAAAGTTCTATTTACACATCTGTTAGGTAACACAAGTGCACCCATTTCAAAATCCATCCACGTTTGAATGCACATCTGAGTACCATTCAGCAAGAAGCTTTGAAGAGAACTTCAGTTTAATAAACAAAGCTAAGTGGGGAGAATTTAAGTTTGCACTTGACGTGGTATTTAAACAAAACCAAAGGGCTGAAACTCAGTATTTAGACAAAGAACACGGTTCACTAATCACTAGGCAAAGAAAATGGTCCAGAGCAGGTGGCACACACAGCTCCCATATAAAACAAAGGTCACAAATATTTTGCTTTTAGGAAACATAAAACAGTGGGCTGATGTGTCATTTACAAATACATAATATAAAAACGCACAACCCCCCCCCCCAACAAAAATCCATCAAATGTTTTTTATGTGACTTCCCCAGTCCCCACCACCCCTTTACTAAAATAGGCCATTCTGGTGAATTACTAGCATCTGCCATTTTGTCTTTTAAAATTAAAAGAGTGACGGGCACATGAGCTGTGCAGGCTGTTAAGAGAAGTGTCTTATAAAAGGGGGCCAGAGCTGACCAAAAATGTTTGGACAAGTAGGTCTCAAAATGGTGTGTTTGAGTTTCACTTCTGTTTCTCACTCTGTAAGACACAAAAATAGCTTAAGAAACTACACACTGGGCTCAACCCGTGGAGTGGTCACTTTCCTCCCCTTGCCCTCAATATGAGGGAGCACTTCAAGCCTCTTTCCTTGGACACCCTCATCCCTTTCTGTCTAACCGCGAGGAAAATACACAGGACGGGTGCTGCCCCGGGCCCTTCCATACCCAGAGTACAGCTGGGTGCCGGCTGCTCTTCCTGGCCAGCGTGCAGTAAGGCATTTCCCTTCTCCAGAGTCCCATTCACTTTCTCAGAAGCAACTTGGCAAAATCGGCATTGGACATCTTGGGTGCCTCGGTGGCTGCTGAGGTGGTGACCGCTGGCTGCGGAGCAGGGCCGTTCTCGGCCTGGGCGACTGTCACACTTGGGCGCTGCAGGGCACGAGGCAGCAGGGAGAGCTGGGTTCTCCCCTTCCCCCGCCTGGAAGAACAAACACTGGATGTATCCTTGCAAAGCAACCACTCGTGGTCCCTGCTTCATTTGCAAAAATAAGCGAGGATGGTCTTCAATCACTCGAAGCTACAAAGTGAAGACCATACTTTCTGGGCTCACTTCTATAGTTTATTAGTAGTAGAGAACTTTCTCAGAGCGTGTAAAGTATCAAGTTAATAGGTGAAGAGTAAAAACCAGAGAAGGAAAATGATTCCTGTCCTCCGTAACTTTGACTAACAGGTAAAACCAGTTTAACAAACCGCCTTTTCCACAATTTGGGGAAAGACCACCCTGTGCAACAGTTACATGTAGCTACGCTAGACAGAAACGCTATCCTCTTTCAGACCTCACCAAGCCACCTCACAATTTCGCTGTCCCCTTCCAACCAGGTGAAAAGCCAGGTTTCCTCTGGTTACAGCCAGAGTGCAGATTACCGCAGCAAGCACACAGCTGTCAGGTTCAGAATCCACACATACGCATTCTACTGCCAAAGGAGACTAAAACAATCACTGCCTAGAAACCAAATGACCTCAGATAAGCCACACCTGTAAACTGGCAAACACCAGGAAGGGTTCCACTTCCGGGCTTGCGCTCTGCGTGGACCCGCTCTGGGGAATGGCAGTGAGCATCCGCAGAGCGGCAGGCCCTGGCTTCCCGCCCCAGCTCGCTGTACCGGCAGGAAACGAATCCACCGTGGTGCCGGCCAGAGCCGAGCGCGTGCAGGGCACATGCACACACTTACGCTCCATAAATCTGCCGCGGCACCATGGCGCCACCTGGAGCTTTCCTTGCCTCTGGCTTCTCTGGAACCTTCCTCTGAGGGGGATTGCTGATGGCCACTTTGATGACATTCTCTTTGATAGTCATGCCATCCATCTTCAGTACAGCCTGGGATGCCTGGGACTCATTTTCATACTCCACATAGGCCAGACCCTGAAAGAGGCAAGATCCAGAGTCAGATCAGGTGCGGGTGAGCCAGGACCCAACTTCCTGCCTCAGTCCAGAAGCCAATACTGGGCAGGCACCCTGACATCGGGTTCCCTTCTCCACCACCATCCTTCGTCTATAGGTTTATGCACTGGCCCTACTCTTCCTCCCTGTTTCTGCAACTGACTGTAACTTCAGATAACCTTTGTGAGGTCAGTATACCTTGTGCTTGCTCCAGCAAAAAAAAAAAAAAAAAAGGAAAATATAAAAAAAATTAAAAAGGAACAATACGGAGGGAGGGAGGGAGGGGAGGGACAGACAGACCAGTATAAATCCAGCAAGAGCAAATGAATGAGGCGGTTGGACACAGGGTGAGATCTCATGTCTGGGCCTTGGCCGCTCCTTACTTCATCCTCTTCAACTCTCCTCTCCAGCAGCCCTCTGGGGGCTGGGGGAAAGACAGGTAACCCAAATTCGTGCCTAAACAACTAGTCAGAATGTGGCATGAGAAGAGCTAGTGGGCAGACAGGATGGGGTCTTGGCCTGGAGGAGGTGCCTGCAGGCCTGGTGAAGAGGCAAGTCTGGGCAGGAGGGCGCACCCAGCCAGGGGTCTGCACTGTGACCCGTTACTCGTGGGAAGTTTTCTTTCCCCCAATGCCCTGCTCTTTTCAGTATAATTAGCTAGAAACAGGCTAATCTGACTCCAAATGCAACTAGAGCCAAGTGTCCCTATTGTTAACTTGTCTGTTTCTCAGCAAATGAGGAACCCACTCAGAACCTAGTAATCCAAACAGACGGACAACTAGGTTTGCCCAAGCCTCGGGAAGCTAACGCTGTCTGGCAGACGCTGACCTTCGGTTTCCCTGCCCGGTTGGTAACCAGCCTGATGTCCTTCACAGTGCCATGAGCCTTACAGATTTCTTCTAGTTCCTCTTTGGTGCAGGAAAAAGGCAGGCCTGAGACAAACAGCTTGTGTTTCTCCAGGGCGGTGCTATACCTGAACACCTACAGGAAGAAGGGAGGGAAAGAGTCAAACTCCCACGGCCTAACCCAGTGCACCATACTGTAGCCGGTACCAGACGTGGCCACAGGCTTTGCCCCAGAGACCAGAGCTGACTCTGGGTGCTGCGAACTGTTAATGGGGTCACCCTGGGCAGGTAACTTAACCTCTCAAAACCCCCACTCCCTCCCGGACACGTGGCAGGAATGAAAGCCGCTATTCTGAGTTGGGGTGAGGATCCGACAAGGTAAACAGTAAGTACTCTGCACAGCCCTTGCCACTTTGCAACATTCAGTGGCAAGTAGCTATCATTACAATTTCTAATTTTCTCATCATTTGTCAACTAGCATGAGCTCGAAGTGACCAAGATGTGAGTCAGGGCTCACCTACCCAGCTCAGAAGAGACCCTGGTTAAAGTCTAGCTCTTAACGGACTATAGGTATCCCACATAAATTCTAAATGTTAGTTGCAGGAGGCAAAGAGCGTTCAGTCTATCGACCGCAACATGGAAGGTGTTTTCTGCAGACCCACCTTGAAATCGGGATTTTTGCTCTTATCCACACAGGGGGAAACAAACATCGGCCTCCCTTCCACAGTCTTCCGGTCCAACTGCAGCGCCTGCAGGGCGGACTTCTCCTCTTTAAACTCCACATAGCAGTAGCCTCGGAAATCGCCCCGGTTGCTGAAGATGGGGCGGATCTCTGCCACCTCCCCACAGGCCTCAAAGAGCGGCCGGAGCTTCAGGTCCGGCTCACCCAGGCTGTAGGGCAGGTTGCTGACGAAGACGGTGATGCTGTCCTTGCTGCTGTCATGGGGCACCTTGGGCATGTCCCTCTTCAGGGCGGCTGCCCTCTCCTTCTGCTTGGAGGGGGGGTCGACGTCTACAGGCGCACTCTTCCCAAAGAGGCCGGTTTCTGCCTCTAGGTCCTGTGCTTCCCCGGCTGGAGGAGTGCTGTTCTCCACCTTCCTGCGTTTGGAAGGCTGCTCTACAAGATGAAGGAAGAAAAGCAGCAATGTGGATGAACTGCTAATTCTCCTCGGTGAGGAGCTTGATGCGCGCCCTCCCCCCAGTGCGACAGCAGGCCTGCAACGGCTGCATGGGACACGCCCATTCCCGTCTCTGAGCCCAGCACCCACCACGCCCTCTGTCCATCACACCCTCTGTCGATTCCTGCCTGACCCACTCAGCTGGTCCTCTGACTTTCTGGGCCCCAGGTACACTGATATAAGTGGACTAAATCAAGGGAGGTAGTAACACAAGTCCCAGCTATCCACTCTTAATTGCACAGTGGACCCCCTGAACAACACGGGCTTGAACTGCACAGGTGCACTCACATGCGGACTGTTTTGGATAAATACAAACTGTATTTTCTCTCCCTTGTGATTTTTGCAACAGTGTTTCCTTGACTCGAGCCTTACTATAAGCAGACGGTACAGAACACATAAAAACATATAAAATGTGTTAGCCAACTGTCCTGCTAAGGCTCCCAGTCAGAGCAGGCTATCAGCAGTTAAGTGTCTGGAGAATCAAAAGATAAACATGGCTAAACATGGATTTTTGACTGAGTAGGGGGTCAGTACCCCTAAGCCCCAAGGTTCAAGGGTCAATTGCATAAAAGGTCAGCAGTTCTCAAAGTTCAGATGGCAAATTCTAGTACTGCTCTCCTAGAAAGCCTGGGGTAGCAGGAGAAGGATGGAGCCTGGGGACTTAAGGGTTTTTTTTGTGTTTTTTAAGATTTTAATTGTTTATTTGAGAGAGCGAGAGAAAGCATGTGCAGGCATTCAAGTGGGGGAGAGGGAGAGGGAAAGCACCTCAAGCAGACTCCGCACTGAGCAAGGACCCCAACATGGGGCTCAATCCTGCAACCCTGAGATCATGACCTGGGCTGAAACCCAACAGTTGGATACTTAACCAACTGAACCCCCAGGCACCCCTGGGGACTGCATTTAAACAGGCACCTAGGTAACTCTGATGTATGCACTCCACAGGCCACACCCTGCAAAATACTGTAATTCCTCTACATTCACTGTTGTCTTGTGTCCTTCAGCAGAGTGGAAAAATATTCTACACCAACCCATCTGCCCCATGGCCTGCAGAGGGTCAGTACTGAAAGCCAGCTGCATTGGACCCACTTCCAAATCTTTCCTTCAATTCCCCACTGCTTTCCTAATGAAGTCTAACCAGTGCACACCACCGGCTACCCCAGCCTCACCTACCCCAGCACACAGCCTTCAGCATGCACCAGGGCTCTAACAAACTCATTTGCTGCTCAGGGAAAATTCCAGGGTGTTCTGTGCCTCATGCATTGCTGACAGTGGCGCTCTGTCTGGCTTACCCTTCCCTTCCTTTGCACTTGACAGCCACCCACTCCCACCTCCAGACGCTGAGGTGCATGAAGTCTTTCCTGCAGGGAGCTGACCCACCAGAGCCTCCTTTGGCCTCCACCAGTAATCCAGGCTGCCCTCTCCCATGATCCTGATCATACGCCACTGCAGTCACACATCACATCTGCCTTCCCCATGGGGTGCCTGGGTGGCTCAAGTGGGTTAAGCCTCTGCCTTCAGCTCAGGTCATGATCCCAGGGTCCTGGGATCAATCCCCACATCGGGCTCTCTGCTCAGCAAGGAGCCTGCTTCCCCCTCTCTCTGCCTGCCTCCCTGCCTACTTGTGATCTCTCTCTCTCTCTCTCTCTCTCTCTCTCTCTCTCTGTCAAATAAATAAATAAATAAATTTTTAAAAAAACAACCAAAAAAAAAAAAAAACCACATCTGCCTTCTCCTGCAGCCCTGAAGACCAGCGAGCTACCCAGCCATGGTCATTTCAAGGTGCACAAGAACGGCCCCTCTGGCTGATACCTTTGTACTAGGAAAACACCTGCAGTCCTTGAATGTCCACAAACAATGCTTTCCCTTGCCGGATGTTCCTGACCCACACCTGCCCACCCCTGAAATGGCAGAGGCGAGAGAAGCCCCAGCTGGAAACTCCACCAAGTCAAAACCACCTGGTGTGCTGAGCAAGGCAGGTGTGTGCGCAGGCTGCAGTGTGGGATGCTGGAACCTGAGTGGATGAAAGGCAGGGACAGCCAGGCTGTGGGAGCCTGAGCAGGGTGAAGGGGCACCACACAGGAGGCGGGTGGAGGGGGCAATGGCACTGTGGACAGAGTGGAGCCTGGGTGGATGGGTGGGAGCTGCTACAGGGCAGTGCCAGGCGGATGGCAGGGAACCCGAGCAGAGGGAGGATGACGCCCACGTGGATGACAGGCAGAGAAAGGAAGGGAGACGGGGCACCATGTGAGCAACTCATTCTCGGTTCAAGACAGAAGTTCTCTGTACAGTGTCTGTAACTCCTCTGGAAGTTAGAGATGTTCCCAAATAACATTTCCAGAAAGCTCTACCTTCTTCATCATCTCCCCACTCCTTCTCATCATCCTCTTCTGCTTTGCGCTTGTCTGCGCCTCTGGTCTTTTTCTTCTTTTTCAACGCTTTCTTCTCGGCCCGTGCCCTTTTCCGCTGTTCGGCCTTTTCTTCCTCTTGCTGGGCGAAGGCTGCTTCCTTCTCTGCAGCCTGGGAAGATGGGAATATAGGACGCATCACTAGGACACAGCGACTGCGGGAACTCTACGGGCTCATGACGAGCATAGAGGAAAGGGGATGCAGAGTGTGGAAATTGGCTACCCCAGAGAAAGGAGAGGTCATGGGGAAGAGGAAGAGGAGGACAGCATGTTCACAACTTTCCCTGCCAGAGCTTATTCAGGCTTCTTGGGATTCCGTATCTCACATCTACAGAATGTTCTGCAACATCCCCAGTAATTACTCACCAAAAGAAAGGAAACAAAGTATAAAACTGGGGCTCTGATTAATTTGGATGTGTTTACCTTCCATTCACAGGGCTGAGTGAGGCTCCATTCTTAACTTTTCCATCTACATCCCAGTAAACTTTAGGTCCCAAATTCCCCAACTATATAAAGTTTTTATCGTCGGGGCTAAAGTTCTAAGCCAAACCAAGTAAATGATGTAAGACAGGCTTAAATACACTGATTCAAGTATTTCACGAATACTCCCTGAGGAAAAGATACTTCTTAGGAAGACCTCAGAGGTTGTGACAAACATTCATACCACACGCAAAGTAGCTAGCAGAGCTTCAAAACTTGAATAGCATCGTTACCTTAACTCTCTGCTCATTAACACGAGCTAGTCGAGTTTCGGTTTTCTGAACAGCTATATCCCAATCTTCTAGGGTACCTTGACAGAAACAGAAGCAAACTGTCACGTTTTAGAATTTTAAAGGATAGAATAGAAAATTTTCTTATTCCCCACCACAAGAGATCTCTCCCATGAGGAATAAGAACTGTAGAGCTCGCTCCCCACTTCCAGATTTCCTTACTGTGGGCCTGAACTTTTTAGAATTTGAAAAGTTCTTCCAAATGTGGTTTTTTAAAAAAAAAACAAACACATTTTATTTATCTGAAAGAGAAAGAAGAGACAAAGCATGAGCGGAGGGAGGGAGAGGGACAGAGTGAGTGGGAAAAGCAGACTCCCTGCTGAGCAGGGGGAATGTGGGGCTTGATCCTAGGACTCCAGGATCGCGCCCTGAGCTGAAGGCAGACGGCAGACTTCTAACCAACTAAGCCACCCAAGCACCCCCCTCTAGGTGTATTGAAAACATCCCCTCTCCTGGGGCACCTGGGTGGCTCAGTCAGTGGAGCAGCCAACTCCTGATTTCACCTCAGGTCATGATCTCAGGGTTCTGGGATTGAGCCCCGTGTATCTCCCTCTGCCCCTCCCCACGCCCTCCACTCAAGCGTGTTCCCTGTGTGCTCACGTTCTCCCTCTAATCTTAGAGAAAAAAAAAATCCCTTTTTTTTTTAAATGACCTGAAAACCAGAATATGATGTTATTCTCATTAGCTAAGATTATAAAGACATTCTCATGTAAAAGGTACAAGACATGACATGTATAAGAAGGACTGAAGGGTTTTAAAAGCTGCTCAAATGATAAACGTTGGGTTTTTTTTTTTAAGATTTTATTTATTTATTTGACAAACAGAGATCACAAGTAGGCAGAGAGGCAGGCAGAGAAAGGGTGGGGGAAACAGGCTCCCTGCTGAGCAGAGAGCTGGATGTGGGGCTCGATCCCAGGACCCCTGGGATCGTGACCTGAGCCGAAGGCAGAGGCTTTAACCCACCGAGCAAACCAGGCGCCCCTGGGGTGTTTTTTAATTTGCTGTTGTTACTTGGGTGTTTTACTTCCAGTTCTGAGGAGTTCAAACCCCAAATCTAAATCAATGCCTATGGATAAATTCACTATTTCCCTATTGAGAACTTAATACCGAGGCTCTAAACTTTTTAAGGGATGCAACATGAGCAAAGCCCGTGTTTAAGCCCTCTGCCTCTCAGCGTGCCTTTGGTGTCCATGACACTGTGCTACAGCAGATTCTCAGCTACAGCAATCTGGATCCCCAGGCAACAAGTCTGGAGACATTTCTGTCATGACTGGGAGCAAGGGAAGGGTGCTACTGGTACCTAGCGAGTAGAGAGAACAGCATCCACCACAAAGAACCAAGAGAACTCTGCAGAGGAACATCACAGAGAGCCCTCCTTGCATTCGGAGACTCTGAGGAGAGGAGTTTCGTGGGCTCCCATGACAGTCTAATCACCGAGCGCCACTTGAGTGGCTATACCGTATGCAGTCTGTCCTCACAGACTATAGTCTTAAGACAAGAGGGCGGATGGGACAGACGCCAAGCCAGCATCAGAGAGCTGAGGGTCCCCACCTTCTGTCCTCTCCATGGTGAGCAACACTTCACAGACGTGCTCTGGGTAGTCACTGGTGCACTGGACTGCCCGGTGCAGGGCCTTCCGACAGTGCTGGGTGTCACCGTGTGCCCTAGGACAGAAAACAAACCGTTGCTGCCACCAGGACACAAAGCAGAAGGCACGCAAAGGGAGGCGCTGTCTTCTCACAGGTAGTGTCACAAGATCAGAAGCTCTGCAGCGACTTTGGCTTCCAAAATTATCCACAGCTCTTTGTACTACGCCACTTAAAATGTTTTCTCCTCTTTCCTCCAGTCAAAACTAAGGCTTTCTTCTAAGTTACCCTTTCCATTAGCAAGGAGATGCTACTAGAAAATACACCTGGGACAGTAGTCTGAGACCAGGTGTCCAGCCTTTATAGCACTGGCACTTGCAACACAGGTGGGGGAATCCAAGAATGCAACACTAACTTGATAACCTGGGAGAAATTCTAGAAGGCCATCCTATCCAAGGGGAGAATCACCAATCCAGAGGACGGTCAGATTTCATGCCCAGAGTTACACATTGTGATGCACACATGGAAAGATACACTGCTCATCACAGTAATTAAAAACTATGTTCTCTTACAACAGTTCCGAAACACTATGTTCCCATTTCTATTTAAAAAAACTTAAAAATACACATAAAAATTATAAATATATATTAGAATACTGGAAAAAAAAATTACACCAGCAGTTCTCAAAGTAGGATCCATGTACCCCTAAAGGTCTCTTAAGACCCTTTCAGGCGATCTGCAAAGTCAGAACTACTTTATTATTGAACATTGACTTTTTCACTGTGTTGACATCTGCACTGATGGTGCAAAAGCTGCGGTGGCCCCTGGCACAAATCGAGGCTGCGCACATATTTCTCACATTTTGTGCGACAGAAGTAGATGTGCTTTATGTGAACATATAAAGCACCTTTTCTGCACACCAGAGTACAATGGTCGTCACAAAGAAAAGCCTATCTTTTTGTTTGGGGTGTAAGCTGTACTAGTTTGTTTTTTCACGGAACACCATTTTTACTTGAGAAAACAGCTCAGCGACAAAAACAGTGGTTAGGTGGACCTGAGTATTTGGCAGACATTTCTGAAAATTAATGAAGGAAGTCTGTCACTTCAAGGAAAACCCCTGGCCATATTTGTTGCCATAATAAAATGGCAGCTTTTAAGTGAAAATCAGAATTTTGGAAAATCTGTATCTGCCACTTTCAGTTTGACAGCTTCCTACTTTAAAAGACTTTTCTATTAGGGCACCTACCTGGGTGACTCAGTGGGTTGAGCGTCTGACTCTTGGTTTCAGCTCAGGTCAGGATCTTGGAGTCGTGGGATCGAGCCCCCCACCCCCACCTCAGTCAGGCTCCGTGCTCTGTGGGGAGTCAGCCTGAGATTCTCTTTCTTACTCTCCCTTTGCACCTCACACTTGCATATGCACATTCTCTAATAAATAAATCTTTAAAAAAAAAAGAACAACTTTTCTAAGATCACTGAGGATATGAACAAATGTAATTTGTTAAATACTGCATGATGAAATGTGTCCATACTGGGAAGAGCTACATGACTTAGTGAATGAGTATTCTCCAAATGGAACAATGGCTGTCACAGAATTGTGTGTGGGTAAAAGGTCTATTGAAAGTACAAAGAAAATCAATGTTAAATGGTTTCAGATTCCACACTGCAACTATTTAAGAAACAACCACTTGCTAATTTTGCTCTAGTATGAAAGAATATCCACAATTATCTGGGAAGGTGAAATACCCCTTTCTTCTAACCTCCTACACGTATGAAGCCAAATTTTCCTCATATTTTTCAATGAGAATTCACAACAGTGAATGTAGAAACAGACATCAGAATCCAGCTATTTTCCAAGCCAGACTAAGGACACTTGCAAAGATAACAAAACCATGCCACTTTTCTCCCTAAATTATTTTCGGGTTTGGAAAACATTTTTCGTAAAAAATATATTCTTTACGTTAAATGTAATCAATTTATTATTTTGACAAATAACTTTTTCTCAGTTTTCTAATATGCTGATATTGATATTTAATAATATTTGTCAGCATTTCTAATATGGTAATATTAAATATATATGATTCACATGAATAAAAGCTTCTCAGGGTTCTCAAACTTTAAGAGTATAAGGGGTCCTGAGACCAAAAAATTTGAGAACTGCTGACCCAGAGGAATAGTCAAGAACCTTTTTTTTTTTTTTTAAAGATTTTATTTATTTATTTGACAGAGAGAAAGAGCACAAGCAGGGGGAGCAGCAGGCAGAGGGAGAGGGAACAGCAGACCCCCCTCTGCAGAACAGGGAGCCCAGGACCCTGGGATCATGACCTGAGTCAAAGGCAGATGCTTAACTAACTGAGCCTCCCAGGCGCCCCTTCAAGAAGCTTTAATAGTGGTCATCTCTAGGGGTGAGATGGTAATAAACTTTCTACCACATAGTTTGGCAAATGTTTCATTTAAATTTGAGCATGTGTTATTTTTTAAATTGGGGAAAAAAACCAAAACACTCAAAAATGAAAAAAATATATGAAAAAATATATATATATATATTTTAAAGATTTTATTTATTTATTTTACAGAGCGAGAGATCACAAGTAGGCAGAAAGGCAGAGAGAGAGAGAGGGAAAAGCAGGCTCCCCACTGAGCAGAGAGCCCGATGTGGGGCTCGATCCCAGGACCCCGAGATCATGATCTGAGCTGAAGGCAGAGGCTTAACCTACTGAGCCACATAGGCACCCCTAAAAATGTATTTATTGAGATGCAACGCTCAAGATACAATGAACAGAAAGGCTGGTCATATTCTTTACATCTTCCCCATGATATAAATATTACTGGTTACATTTATTTAAAGTAGTTTTAGAGATTTCTAACATGTACACTGTCACTGTATTTTCTTTAGGAAAAAAAAAAATTAAGCATAGAAAAATCTCAAAGAATATACCCAAAGCATTAGCTAATGGGTTATGTCTCTGGGTCTGCCACTGTAGATTAATTTTGGAGTTTTTCTCCTTGCTTTTTAGTATTTTCCACTTTTACATACAAAGCAAATACAAAAAATAGTTCCCCAAAAAGTTAAATAAAATATTTCTATCCAAAAACCAAAATAACAGAAAGAAACATATGGTTGTATGACAAGCCCAGACACAAAATTTCAGGTTGAGTTCCCTAGCCTCTCCCAGTACACACAGAGCCTCGAACAAAGGACAGGCTGCCAGAGGCCAGGGCCCTGTGGAGAGGGGCAAGCCAAGGCCAAGAGGAGTCAGCCAGGACTGAACACAGCTTACCCCTGACAGGCACCACCAACCCCGCCCCCAAGCCAATTACCTTTCCAGGTTGTAATACTCGAGCCACATGTTGGCATACTTGGCATTCCCTTTGGTCATGATGCTGTCCCAGAGTTCCCGAGCCTTCTGCATATTATTGCACAGTCGAGCCTAAAACGCATTAACAGGCTCCATTAGGAAAAGACGCAAACCTTAGCACACTGGCACCCATTACAAAGCATGCCTCAAACGGCCGTGCCTTAAAACCCCTCACTGACGATCTGTGTTACTTGACTCCCTGGATATTTCCCAGCCACTGTCCACAGCAGCATGCCCAGCTCAACCACTTCAGGCTTTGAGAGGAGACAAGCCTCAAGCTGTCTGCCTATTTGCCTGTCTATTTGAGAGCAAGGAGCAGAAGCCCACAGGTACTTAAAACAGAACTGGCAAGTCACTTTTTATTTTTATCAAGCTTAACTACAAGCATTTAATCTGAGTGCAATGTGGAGAAAAGAAAGACCGATCTAGGAGGAGGTCCCAGCTCTGCCATTTATTAAGTGACTTTGGCAAGTGAACCCTTCTGAACCTGACAGACACTGGTTCTTTGACCTGACTCCCTCAGAAAATAAAACAGGATGAGAATTCCCAACTCTGTTACATGATCAAGGGCAGATTCCATACCTTACTCACTTGGGGTCCTTGGTCCAAAAACAACATTGAATTCATTATATCCCTTAATTATCTGTCAAATTTCTGTCTCCCATAGGAGATCAAAGACATGGGAGCACCGAGCAGGATTCCCCTCATCTCGCCAGCACACAGTAAAATGCCTGGCAGACAGTCCACACCCAGGATCCTCTCACAAACCAGACACCAAGGGGAGGGGGGCAGAAGTCCACGAGTCAATGCCTGGCATTCCGACGTTTGCTGCGTACTTCTTACCCGAGTGCTAGTGTCTTCTCTAAGATACAGATGAACGTGCACCAAGCTAGATGCAGAGCACAAATCCCTACAGACCCCAACTATCACCGGGGATGCTGACACAACCGCAGCCACATCGTTACACACGTCCTTCAAAGGTGCATGTCACTGGCACATCTGTCAAAAACACTTACCTCGATCCTAGCCCAGTTCTGCATGATCATGCAGCTTGGATCTCCGCTCTCATTAAAACCTTTAAGAAGAGAAGCAGCCAAAATTAGAGAAGAATTTAGAGACAAAGAGCCTCTGCCGGAGAAGGCACGCCCACCAAGTAGGGGAAAGACAACCGCAGGGAGGAGCGGGTGAAGCCGCACTTACGCTCCTCCACCTCCTGCTTCAGATACTCCAAGGCGCGAGTGAACGCAGACCTCAGCTCTTCCAGCTCTTTACTGGAATCTGTCAGGAGTTGCAAGAAAGTTTTGGCTTCAAGAAACTGCATACCATTTTTTTTTTAAATGCTACAGTGGGCTCCTGAGTGGCCTGGTTGATTAAGCATCGGGCTCTTGATCTCACGGTCATGAGTTCAAGCCCCACGTTGGGATCCAAACTGTACGTGGAGCCTGCTTAAATGCTACAGTAAACTCCTGGGAGCCTGCTGTGCACCTGGCATCAGGCTGGGGACACAGAAATAAAATTGCCAGTCCTGCCCTCATCATGTGGTTGGGGAGAAAGACAATGGAACAAATAGCACATTATGGACAGTGCTGGCAGGACTCGGTATAGAACATAAGGACCCTAAGTATCTTCCCTTACAATTCACAACAGGATTTAAGGATTTAAGAAGTGAAAATTACGGGGGGAAACAGTTGTCAATGGCTGGTCTACACCATTTGCCTCATCATGATGTATCTGGGCAACTAGGATAACTCACTGAAAGACATGTTAGGAAAAAATTCGGAACTGAATCTGACACTTGAATTTAAATACCTTGTTTGAAATCAACCCTTCTCCTCAGGTAATCAAGGTACGCCTGCCAAATCTCCACATAATCAGTGGCCTGAATGAAGCCAGCGCTCAAAGCTTTCTCAAAGGTCACTGGAATTGAAGAATAAGCCAGGATTTGTTACCAGTTCAAAAAGAAGTTAATACAAATTACCGAGATTGTTATAAAAACTACTATATGACTTCATAATAATGACAGGGGGAAACAAAGTGAAATGAGCTAGAGAGAAATGTTTTTAAAAAAAAAAAAAAAAAGAGCCTCCAGGATTTACATGAACTTTGTTCTAGAAAGGGCATGTTCCACAAGATGCCCCGCACTAAAAGAATTCTGGGTCAGTAGTTTTGGAGAAAAGATGCCAACTTCCCAGAAAATCACAATGAAATGTTAGCATTTTTACATTTAACATAAAGCTTATGATCAGTTTATCTCCCACTTGGGGCCTTTTCTGTCACTAATACCCTATGTCCCAAAGCTAACACCCAGGGGAAGGCTGATTTAATGACTGTCACAGCACTAGGTTTCTGGCCTGGGACAGAAAGCTTTCGAGTCTTCCCACAAAAACATTCGCACCAGAAATCACTTGGTGGTCAACTCCATGTCTTTCCATGGCCAAGAGGTAACGACTCCATAGAGCAACTGTCCATGGGCAGTTTCTAACAGCACGGTTATGTACAGATAAAACCAAATCCTTCACTTTCAGCTGCCGATCCTACAATAAAGAAGTCCAGAGTTAGGAGAGAAAGTGCTACCATTACAGACTTTACCATCCGTGACACATCCCCAGCGCAACCAGCTAACAAATTTCTTTAGAAATGTCTCTCGTGGGGCGCCTGGGTGGCTCAGTGGGTTAAGCCGCTGCCTTCAGCTCAGGTCATGATCTCAGGGTCCTGGGATCGAGTCCCGCATCGGGCTCTTTGCTCAGCAGGGAGCCTGCTTCCCTCTCTCCCTCTCCGCCTGCCTCTCTGTCTACTTGTGATCGCTCTCTGTCAAATAAATAAATAAAATCTTTAAAAAAAAAAAAAGAAAGAAAGAAAGAAATGCCTCTCATGACTGGTTTCTTCAACAAAGAAATTATGAGGAGTTAGGGTAGAAGAAGAGAGGTAGAGAGGGAACCAACAGATGAAAACAGCCTTAAGAGATATCAGCCAATCCTAATGAATGGACCCTGCCTGGATCCTGATTCAAATCTTTTATATACGTGTACTGAAATATTTACCAATGAAATGTGACTTCTGGGATCGGCTTCAAAATCCCATGAAGAGGAAGAAGATTAAGGACATAGACGAAATTAGACTAGTGCCATGAGTTAACTGTTAGAGCTGGGCGATGGGCCCATGAGGTTTCACCTTATTAATCTATGTTCTAATGCTTACGTTTTTTCCCATAATGAAAAGTTACAAGAAAAAAAGTAATCTGTCATAAAGTCCTCAGTAAGAAGACTGTGCAAATTTTTTTTACAGTGTCAGTCTGAAATGACTTGGAACATCGGAAGAACTCCCTGAGTGAGTTGGCAGAGGGGAAAGAAGGATGAGGGGAAAATGAGGAAGCAGAGAGGGGTGGCACAGAACTAACTCCCAACACTCCTGCTGATTTTCTTTGAACAGGCTCCCAATCGGTAAGAAGGAGAGAAAGTAGAAGTCGAGTGGTCTTACGAGGAACTGAGTGTAGCGGATCCACAGGTCTGGGACGAGGCAGTTCTCGACAAGGGCACGCTCGAAGATCAACTGCACGCGAGCAGGGTCACCAATTTTCATCTCAAAGTCGATGTACGCTTGATATTCAGCCAGCCTGGGTGACTCTGCTTGCAACTAAGGCAAAAGGGAAGCATAATGAGATTGAAATAAGCTACCTGACACTGTTAGGAAGCACAACATATCTTCATAGTAAATTCTGGCAAGACTGGCTATGTCAGTAAAAGTCCCCCATTCCCACTCGCAGAACCTCTGGCATGCCGGGGTCTACAACACAACGGGCAGACTAAGAGTCCACAGCGCCTCTTCATGGCAACAGTTAGAAAGGTTCCACGAACCCTTTTCCAAACCCACCCTCAGGCCACAGGGGGCTTCTGATGGGAACATCCATCAGCAACTAAATGAAAGAGAAACACCTTTGCCAGTGACCATGGACAGCCATCCCTCCGAAACGGAAGTCACTTTCTCAGCCTACTGAGTGGAGTGAACACATCCACACTGGAGCGATTTGCTGCCTTCATTCCAAGGCTTCTCATTCCAGTATCAGCTCCTGCCAGCGTGCAGGCACATGCAGAACATGAAAGAGGCTAGGCTGAATGTTTACTGAGCCAAAGAGCTACAATCGAAATTCTTTTCAGACAAAATCCCTACACAACCTTCCTCTTCAGCTACTCTCTTCTAATGGTCGTAACAAAATGAATTAGCTGAAGATTTCATTAAAGAGGCTTTAATAAATACAACTACCTACCAGTCATTTACATGTGAAAAAGGGAGAGGGTTCACAGGCCAGCCAGCAGGAGAGCACACATGCTCTGAGTAGAAAAAGAGGATGTCTTAGTTTCAGTTTCTAGTTTTAATGACAAACGGGTTACCCAGAGAGACTGCCACTGAAAACTACAAAAACTGCTGGATTCGATATGAAAAACATCTTGAAAATCATCAGCAAACTAGCAAAGACACAAGAAATACTAAGGACAAAATCTAGGTGAAGGTTAAGCTTTTGCTGGTGTAAGATATATTAAGGATTTGATCTTCACAGTGGGGATCATTATCATCCCATATTACATTCAAGGGGACTGAAACACACGGAGGGTAAGGACAAGCTCAAAGTCAGAGAGCCAGCAACTGACAGAGCTAACATTCGAACTTGAGGTGGCCTGGCTCTCAAAGTCACTGTTCTTACTATACCACAAGATACCAAAAACAGAGCCCAACCAACCACGAACAAGATAAATACAAAGATATCCACCCCTGGACCTAATGTACTGAAACTATGGGACATCAAACAAAACCTATGAGATTTTAAAATGGGCCAGAGAGAAAACAAGGACTGCCATCACAGAAGCGGACGTCTCAACAGCGACAGCAGGAGCCAGGAAGACAGGACGCGTAACTGTCGATCTAGAATTCTACATCCTGAGAAATGAACTTTTAAGAAGAGCGAAGTGAAGACCTTTTCAAATTAAAATCTGTTACCAGCAAATATCCAGGGCAGGTGACTTTAAAGGGTGTACCTGAAGCAAAATAAAAATGATTCCAGATGAGAGCTCCGGGATACAAGGGAAGAAGAGCAAAGGAAGTGGGAAATGCATGTAGTGAATGTAATGAAGCTGGGCTGTATAATTCAAGATGAATTGCTAACAACAATGACTTGCAGGTCAAACAGGACGAGAAAACACGAGGATAAGTCTGAGGCACAGTAAATGTAGCTGAAAGTATTCTAAGACCAAGACAGGTAGAAAAACACCACTTATTACAAACAATATTATGGTCAAAAACCAAATATTATGGTCAACATGGAAAATCCAAAAATCAAAAAAAATCTACTGATCATTAATAAAAATTTATAAAGTTCAACAGACAAAAAAATTAGTATAAAAACCAAATTACAATTTATATAGCAAGAACAATTAGAAAAGCAAATCTTTTTAAAAAGGTGGCATTTTCTATACAATCAAAAATATCTTAGAAATAGGTCTAAAAAATGTGTTCAAGGGACCAGATGAAATTATAAATTTATAAAACTTTAGAGAAAGATAAGGCCTAAGTAGCAAAGGCCTATACCACATTCATAGATTAGAAGATTCAGTATTTCTAAGATGTAGTCTTCTTCCAATTGATCAGTGCAATTCGAATACAAAATTCAACAGGTTTTTTTCAGTAAAATCTGAAAAGCTGATTCTAAATCCAAGTTATTAAGAACTAAAGAAAGAAAGGGAAGACACTCTTGAAGAGGAACAACGTGGATGGGATTCATGTTACCTACAAGCAAAACTTATGAAACTGGGGCGCCTGGGTGGCTCAGGTGGTTAAGCGTTGCCTTCAGCTCAGGTCCTGATCCTAGGGTCCTGGGATCAAGCCCCACTTTGGGTTCCCTGCTCAGCAGAGAGTCTGCTTTCCCCCTCTGCCTCTCACCTCTCCTTGTGTTCTCTCTCTCAAATGAATTTAAAACAAACAAACAAACAAAAAACTTACAAAACTGTCATTATTAGGACAGTGTAATTTAAGCCAGTGGGGCAGAAGAGAAAGCCCAGAAATAGATGGACAGCTGATCTATGACTGATGTGGGCCAGCACATCGATGCGGGGAGGATAGAACTATCAAAATCAGTGCTGGAACAACTGTTTGTCGTATGGACAAACGAAACTGGCCCCTCACCTCACGCCATACACAAAAATCAATTCCATATAAAGATCTAAACATGAAATACACAGCTATAAACTTCTGGAAGAAAAGAGAGCTAAGAATATTCATGAGTTTGGAACCTGGAGAGATTTCTTAAGCGTAAAAGCAGAAACCGTAAGAGAAAGAATGATAAACCCAATTAGAGTAAAACTGAGAACCGCTTGTCAAAAGATGCCATTAAAAAACTAAAAAGACAAACCACAACCTGGGAGAAGCTTCTATAATACATACAACCAAAATAAGGAATATGATCCAGAATTCCTAAGAATTAATGAGAAAAAAATACAGATGAAAGAAAAATGAGTCAGAGACTTCAGGCACCTCACAAAAAAAGGACATCCGAATGGCCAACAGATGTGGAACAAACACTTAACTTTTGTTAGCTATCAGGGAAATGCAGATTAAAACTACAACTTCAGACCCATCTCAGTGGCTCATATTTAGGTCAGTATCAAAGGCTGGAGAGACCAAAGAGAACCCTCGGTTCAGGGAGAACTCCTGGGCAGGAGTGCCAACTATTAACACAGAAAACAGTTCGGCACAATCCTCTGATCCAGCAAGTCCTCCTGGGGATGCCCTCTGGAGAAAGCCTATTCACGTGTGCACCGAGAGACATGCACAAGAAAGGCCAGAAACATGCTGCTCCTCCTAGCAACAAACTGGAAAACGACCCGGCTAGGAACACGGATGTATAAAGTGTGGCATACACATACGACTTCATGGCCGTGAAAACAGACTATACTGATCAGTACGAGTACAACCCACAAACACGTTCAGTGAAATACACAGCATGATTCCATTACATAAAAGCTCAAAGACAAGCAAAATTAAACAATATATTAATCAAGGATATGGTCATAGGTTGTAAAACTATAAAGAAAAGCAAGGGAACGATTATCACAAAAGTCAGGAAAGTGATTACCTCTCGGGAGAGGGAAGAGGAGGCAATCGGAGAGGGGCACATAGGAGACTTCTAAGGTACTGGCAATGTTCTATTTCTTAACCTGGGTGGTGGGTACATGGATGTTCACTTTATTATTAGTATGTAAACTGTATGCAGACATTTATACACTCTATAGATTTCACAACAAAACAAATTTTAAAGATGCAACTATTGATTAGGGAAAAATTTGCAGCGAGAAGTTCACTGTAAAGAGGCCGACACTTACCAGTGCTTCTTCATAGGGTTTGTATCTCTCCAACTGCTGTAGTGCTTTGTTATAGTTCTGAATTACCGACTCTGGTATTGGGTCTTCTGACCACTCTTCATACTCTGCAAATGTGGCCTCCATATCTATTGAGAGATGAATTCAGCCCCATAGGTCTTGCCACTGAGTTTTATCAACCCAGAGATTAAACCATGAGACTCAGAGGATGCCAGCCCCTCCCATGAGTGACCACAGCAACTCTTATGCTCGAATCTTCTCCTGGGCCCAGACTTGACCTTAGATTCTGTCTCAAAGCAATCCCCCCGGAAGCCCTACCAATTAATCCATCAGTTAATTAAATAATAGCAACACTTACCTAGTGCTTCCTATGTTCTAAACTCTCCATTCGCTAACTCATCCAATCCTGCCAGCTCTAGGGAGTAGATTCTACCATGATCTCCATTTTGCAGTTGAGGAAACGCAAGTAAAGGATTACATCAACTGTCTGCAGGTCACAGTAGAGCAAGGCCTTGAACCAGGCAGTCTGGCTCAAGTACATGCTCTACTCACTGTACTATGCCACGTCACATTGGTATGGGAGAGGAAACCTGCAGGCTGCTCAGTTCTAGCCTTTTCTGCAGTTGAATCACCCAAGGATTCAACTGGAAAGCCACTTTATAATTTGTTAAATCAAATCCAAATAAGCCACGAAGTATAAAGAGCAATTACGTCTGGGCTCAAGCAGTTGTCCAGAGGTGCCAAGGGCGTACAATGTGAAACTACGCCTGGAGAACAAACAAGATGGCAGCACAAAACTCTTCCCATGCCCAGAAAAATCCTCCAGATGCTGCTCATGCTCTAGCTCTAGCTCGAGAGTTTCAAGGCTTGGCTTACCAAAATATGTTCACCCAAACAGGAAAATCCTTACCAAACCCCCGAGAAATTCAGGTATGAACACTTCCAACCAACAGGGCTCCTGAACCAATCACCCCCACAGAAGAATGCTACAAGCCTGTGGGAAATCCTCATTCTGATACGGAAGAGGTTACTGCTAAAGAGAAAATGCTCACCACGGAGCTCTTACTCAATAAAGTTTCCCCAGAAAACACAGGGAGGTTCGTTTCCCTATTCCTTATAGTAACTCTACCTCTCCAACAGTGTCTTAATAGAGAAAACTGCGAGTCAGGAAGTCTGGCTTCCAGGTCTGACCACTGACCCTCAATCCTCTTGACCATTAACAATTCAAGGTACGTTTTTTAACCAAAGGCCTCATCCACAGTGACACCGTCCAGTGAGAGTAAGAACACCAGCAACATCTGCCTCACAGGGTGCTGGGAAAGACCTAACGACAGGACATGCCCCAAAGCATTTTAAAAACCACGGAGGGCCAGCTGTCGACAGGTCCGTTTCTCTTACCATAGAGTGGGATCGCCAGCTGTCGCCGGAAGAGACTGTGGACTTTCTCCAGCTGTGAATCAAAGGTTTGTTCCCGGTCAAAAGGGGAAAGGAAGACAGCTATGGGCTAAAGAAGTAAATTTGTAGTAAATGGCAAACTTGGCAGTCCTTCCTACTTCAAAAAGATATTGCAACAAATTTTTTAGTTCAAACTAAAAATACATTTATGTGACCTCTGATACATGAGGTATTGTGTCAAATGCTGAGAGAGGCACAAAAATAAACGTCTTTGCTACTAAGTGTTTCTGACTGGGTAAAAAGCAAAAAGGAATGTTAGAAATGTATATACTGACAACATATGCACAAATGACTATAATGAAACATCAGGAAAGAAAGTATCACAAGGCTTGCTTTCTGCTGGTGTTTAAGGCTGAGTTTTTTTATGAAGGGAGGAAAGCAGCACAAACTCCAGGAGGAGCAGGCAGTTGGGATGCATCTACAGGCTCTCCTGCCATAGTAAGAGGAGGAAACGGACTCCCAGTCGAAGGAACCGTGTAAGTACAGTGGCCAGCAAGTGCACAACTGTGGAGGGGCACGTGGGAGCAGAGTCCACACAGAGTTATGTCTGATGCTGGAGGGCCACAAATGTCAGCCAAAGGAGTTAGCCCCGATGCCTCCATCAGAGTGAGCTGAAGGCACCACTGCAGACTTCTCAACAGGGATGTAATCAACAAGGGACTGGGCTACTTTAATAATAACCATCTAACTACTAGAGGGCTCCACTAGTTACGGATGGTAATGCACACACACACACAGGAGAGGGAACACTGGGAGGGGACTGTAAACCCTTGAATCAGAGTTCAAAAAAATCCAATTATGATGGGGTCAAATCTCTTACACCTCTTGCCAGTTATTATTGGACATGACTAATATATATACACTTCTTTTAAGAGACACAGTTATTCTGGTGTATTCACCTGGAACCAATAACTGAAGTAGTATTTTTAAGTATCAGAAAAATTACAAGGTCATCTGTTTTTAGTCAAAGAAATCATTCTTGTTGTTCCACAAACACTACTGATTTTATTTTACTGCCCACCCACTAAAGGACTGGTGAGGACCATTTCATTAACTATGTTCTTCCGAGGCCACTTACAAAGACAGCCCCAACTAGTCGAAGGCAAGCACTGGTCACAGAGACCAGGCCACTCACCCGGGCAGCTTCCACAATGGCACTTTCAAACTCCCTGTAAGCCTCCCAGATGGCGAGTCCTTTGGTCATATGTAAGCCAACTGACGAGAGCGCCCTTTCAAACACAGAACGGACTTTCTCAAGGCCACCTTTCTGACCAATTCCACCGACTGAGTACTGGCCATACTCCAGCCAAATGTTAGGACCTAAGAAGGAGAAGTGCTCCATTAATTCAGGATATGAAATACCCAAAGATTAAAACTTTTGTTCCGCTGAGTCACAAAAGAAATATGCCCACCAAAACAATACTCATTCACGCAAAAAGGCAAGAGCACATCAGCAAGCATCCAATGTACATAAATTACTAATACTGCAGCTAGAAAGGAAAGTATATCTTAAACAATGTCTCTACTAGGTTACAATTACTGCCATTTTACTGCATAAACAGAATATGCCAGCAGGTAATATGTAATATGCTCATGATTAAAAAGCCCATTTATTAAAATAGAAGCAATTCAATGAAAATATTCAATGCAAATAGTTACAAATCTAAATACTTTCAGAATGATTTCAAAGCTTAGAATTTTTTAACTTTTGAATCTTTTTAAGCCTTCTGGTCAAAATCAAAGAACAAATTAAAACCACCAATTCTGTAACCAGAAGTCTGTATTTTAAGTCTCTCTTTGTAATGATGTTTAAACAGCAACAACGGAAAAGACCCGATTGCCCTTTTTTTGGTCACTTTCTTCTTAAACTTTATATACACTCACCCCTGCAGCTTTAAGAGCAGACTAATGAATTAAACTCTTTAGGAGTGCTTGCTTGGGCAGCACATATATTAATCTCTTTAAGAATGCAGTGGTTCCCAATGCACACGTTTTGCATATTAAGTCACTTTTCAGAGATCTGAAAATATTTCATAGGTCTATCCATTAACCTTGTAAAATAAAAATACTTAGAAGATAAAGCTGATTTGACAATTACTGTATGTTTTCCCGAGGACTGCTTTTTTCATGAAGCAGGTTTATTTCAAAGAACTTAGCCAAACTTTGTTAGCTACTCTGTTTTAGCTCACCAATACAGAGCAGCCATATGGGATGCAAAACAAAAAAGGAAGAGGGGGCGCCTGGCTGACTCAATTGGTAGAGCATGCGACTCTTAAAGCAGGCCAGAGTGGCTTCCGAACATTCTCAAAACAAGGGACATAATTTCCATGCTCTAGGGCTCCTGAAACTAACATAAGAACCCCATGGGCCCCCATTCAAAACTACTTTAAGAAACCTAATCTGAGGAGCACGGTTATCTGGCTTCTGGACCCCCAGCAGCCCTGAAGCAGTTGGGCAGCGAAAGGCACACTGACCTCAGCACTGACAGTGGCAGCCCCACAGCAGGGTGACTGTAAACCATCAAGGACCGAAAAGCATTAGTCTGGGGAGGTACTGGTAATGATGACTCTGAGACATTCACAGAGGGGTTCCAGGATCATCAAAAAACATGGAAGCATCAAGCCCTTGGAACTGTCAAAAGGTTCTAAGAAGCCACATGGACAGATTGGGGCAGAGACCCAAGAACATTAAAAGTACATAATAGGGGAATTTCATATTCACAAAACACCTGTAATTTTCAGTATCCGGATTATAAAAACTAAAAACTGATCAATTCTCTTGGCTGATAAAGGTACATGGAAAATGCTCTTCCTCGGGGCAGTCTATCTTCAAGTTCCAGTGCCTGTCAAAAGGGGAAATGCCCACAGTGGGGAAAACCAGATATGGAAGAAGGATGTTTAATTTAAAAGGAGGAAATCTGGGGGCGGGGGTGGGGGGATGCCTGGGTGGCTCAGCCGGTTGGGCATCCAACTCTTGATTTCAGCTCAGGTCATGATCTCTGGGTCAGGCTGAGCACAGAGCCTGCTTGTTCCTCTTCCTCTGCTCCTCCCCGCTCCCCAGCCCACACTTGCAAGTGCACACTCTCTCTCAAATACATAAAATCTTTTAAAAAAAAAATTAAAAAATTTTTTAAAAGGGAGAAATTTTTAAAACTTTTTTAAAAAAACATTTTGTCCATAGCATTCTCTGATGTGTCCTATAGGTAAAAAGCGTATTTAGAGAATCATACTGCCAACAGGGGAAGGTAAAGAAACTTCGAGAGAAGGTGTCTACTCCACTTGCACTAACAAAAATTCAACACGAGTAGACAATGCACAGCATACACCTGTGTGGTGATGGAGGTTCTCTAAGTCAACTGCAGTGGCGGTTACCAGAATCTACACGTGGGGTAAAACATCACAGAAGCAGACACGCACATTGTACTAAGATCAATTCTCTGGTTTTGATTTTGTATAGCAGTTACAGGACACTGAGGAAAGCAGGATGAAGTTTAGGAACTCTCTGTACTACTGTCCTGTAAATCATTTATTTTATTTTTTTTTAATCGTTTATTTTAAAGTAAGAAGTTTTAAAAAGCTTTTTAATATTAATATTAATTAATAAATTAAAATTTAAAAATTAAAATTAATATTAATTTTTAATATTAAAAAATATTTAAAAAAATTTTTTTAAAAAAGCATTCTGTCCAAAACTTCTAAAAATCCAAACTATGTATAAAAGGCAACCTTTAGGGGCGCCTAGGTGGCTCAGTGGGTTAAAGCCTCAGCCTTCGGCTCAGTTCATGATCTCAGGGTCCTGGGATCGGGCCCTGCATTGGGCTCTCTGCTCAGCAGGCAGCCTGCTTTCCCCCTCTCTCTGCCTGCCTCTCTGCCTGCTTGTGATCTCTCTCTCCATCAAATAAATAAATAAAATCTTTTAAAAAATTAAAAAACAAAGAAAAGGCAACCTTTAGTCATCTGAAAATACCACGTAAGTTCTCCCCACCAAAAAAATGCTGGGTGAGTATGTTCACTCCCTTACTACAAACATTTCTCCTAACTGTATTTTAAAACCAAATATCCTCAAATGAAAACCACAGACAGTGGGCGTGGACAGCTGGGTGGCTCCGTTGGTTAAGCAGCTGCCTGCGGCTCAGGTCATGATCCTGGAGTCCTGGGATCAAGTCCCACATCGGGCTCTCTTCTCACTGGCGAGTCTGCTTCTTCCTCTGCCCTTCACCCTGCTCTCAAGCTCTCTCTCAATCTCTGTCTTTTAAATAAATGAAATCTTTAAGAAAGGAAGGAAGCAGGGGGCACCTGGGTGGGTCAGTGGGTTAAGCCTCTGCCTTCGGCTCAGGTCATGATCTCAGGGTCCTGGGATCAAGCCCCGCATCAGGCTCTCCGCTCAGCGGGGAGCCTGCTTCCCCCTCTTTCTCTGCCTGCCTCTCTGCCTACTTGTGATGTCTGTCTGTCAAATAAATAAAAATCTTAAAAAAAAAAAAAAGGAAGGAAGGAAGGAAAAAAGAAAAGAAAGAAAGCCAAAATGAGCATAATAAGTAAACTCAAATCTTTCTAATTGCTGGACTAACGCTCTCCTTTCTGAGGAGAAACCCATCATGAGGCAACCCCGGACAGCAGAGATGGAAGCATCTGCAGACACCTTGAAAAAGCACGCAGGGAACTTACAAATATAATCCTTCACAGCTTTCTCAAAGAGGTCGTACACGTGCTCTCTGTCCAGGCCATCCAGAGCCATGCTGATCTCGTCATGCAGCCACTCCAACCAGAGCTCTGCAAGACAACAGCACTTCCTGCATGACCATCTCCTTCACCAAAGGGCAAGATGACAGCAGGGACTTTACTGTAAGTCACCAGTGCACCCACGTCTCACCCATCTCACACAGCCTGCCACGGTTCACAGAAATTCAATTCTTAAAACTTGTACCAAGCACATATAAAGTTTATGCTTCCAAATAAGACCAAGTAATTAAAATCATAATACCGTACATCTGTATTTTATGGGCATTTTATATTTTTGCTAAGTACTTACGTATATATATTTCTCATTCAATCTTTTTTAAACTCCTGTAGATGATAGTCATAATAATGAGTAACGATGGCACCTATCTAAGCATTTATGATATGCTAGGGCATTTATTATGTGTTGTACCCACAATACCTCATCCAATCCATGTACTATAACGTAGAAACTACTGCTAGCCCATCTTACTGCTGGGAAAACTGAGTCTGACAATGTTTGCATAATTCGCTGAAGGTCTCACAACTAGTAAGATGTACTGTCAGGAACAAATCTGGACACTCTGATTTCAGCTCCTACACTCAGCAGTTATGCTTTTGGGCAGGGAGGGGGGAAAGAGCTGGATCTGGGACCTGTATTCTCCCAACCCCTCCCTAAAAGATCAATTACGAACTCACGAAGGACTGGTCTACAAGACGCACAGGGTAATTCTGTTTCAAATAAGTAAGTAAAAGTAATCTAAATTCTAACTACCATGTAACAAACAAGGTATGAAATGTTTACACTAAAAATCATTTATTAAAGTTTAACTGTAATACAATTAACTGGTCCTGAGAAAATGGATTAAAGAAAACACCAGAATGGGAAACAGAAAGATGTGGGAAAGATTAATCATGACGGAAGATTAAAAAAAAAAAAATCAGGATCCAAAACATGAGTCTGTACTACACAATCACAATTATGTTTTGCAAAAAACTAAAAGATGAAAAACTAGAAATCACTGACACTGGATAATGAATTTTCTTCTTTCCACTGTTATTTCTATGTTCCACATTTCTGTAAGGAACACATCCAAGTTTCAGCACTGAAAACAGAATGTATACTCTTCAGTTCTCTGTGTTTACAAAAGCAGGCCTACTGCTGATATGTTACCTTCAGTCAAAGGAAAGATCTCACTCATCTTCTGGCGAGCCATCCTCACTTTGGTAAGCTCCCCTTCCAGCCGGAGCAGCCGGATCAGGTCTACATGGCAGTTGTAGTCATAGACGTTGATAGACAGCTAAGAGGAAAAGAGCACAAGGTGAAATTTAAAACGCCACCATCAAAAGAACTTAGCATTCTTCACCAATGGTGACAACGCTACAAACAAGAGATGTGCTATCTGGGAGTGCCACTGAAACAGCAAGGCCACATTTACCCCCAGGAAGAGGAAGAAAAATCAATGAACAAGCCTTTCTCTAATAAACACACACAGAGCCTCCACTCTGTTCCAGTCCCTGTAAGAACCCAGCTGGGTTGTTCTCTGAAATACAGGAAACATTCTGATGAAACAAACACCAAGTGTGACCTCAGGCAGGTCATTAACTTTGCTCAGCCTCTATTTTCTCATCTGTGAAATGGGGATATCACTAGGGTCTAGTCCGTAAGGTTCTTGTGAGGATTTTAAAATGTGATTAATAATGTGCTTTAGCACCTGCCGGCTGTGTAGGTAAGAGCTCTTTTACCAAACAAAAACAACAAAAAGGAAACCCCTAATGGGAGGAGCGAGAATGGCAGCACCTGCTGAAGCTAAGCAATAGGTACATTAGAGATTTATTTCTATTATTTGAAACTTTTCAAATTGAAAGTTAAAACAAATGAAAATAACTGCTTAAAAAGGTATCGGACATCTGAGACAACAGAAAACTAAAAGAACCTACCACTAGCAGACTTTTCTCTTAAAGACAGTGAAAGGAAGAGAAAGGAAATGATCAAAGAAATCTTGTAGCATCAGGAAGGAAGGAAGAGCTCAAAGAGCATGAAATACAGACAAGTATCCTGGAAGATCCTTCTCATGAGTTTTCTAAGCTGTATGTGATAACTGACACAAAAATTTTAAGACCACCTGATACTCAAAACAATGATACTTAAAAGTGGGGATGCTAAATGCAAGGACGTCCTCAATGGAAGGACCATTTCCACACTTCACCCGGTGGTAGAACACAGCTACCGTGTAAGTCAAATCAACTATTCCTAAGGCAACCACTAAGAAACTATACAAAGCAATACACTAAAAATCACTATAAATAAATCAAGACAGAATCCTAAAAAATGTCCTTCCCAGGAAGGCAAGAAAAGAGAAACAGAAGAATAAGAAACACAGGAAACAAATAGAAAATAATAAAATGTCAGGCTTTAGACCTAACATAGCAATAATTATCTTAAACGTTTATGCTCTTGGGACACCTGGGTGACTTAGTCGGTTAACCATCTGCCCTCAGCTCAGGTCTTGATCCCAGGGTCCCACATTGGGCTCCTTCTCTCTGCTTCTCTCTCTGCCACTCCCCCTGCTTGTGCACCGTACTATTCCCCTCTTTCTTTCTGACAAATAAATAAAATATATCTTTTAAATATTTATGGTCTCAATATACTAATTAAGGGGCACCTGGGTGGTGCAGTTGGTTAGGCATCTGACTCTTAATTTCAGCTCGGGTCATGATCTCAGGGTCATGGGACTGAGCCCCACATGGGGCTCTATGCTCAGTGGGGAGTCTGCTTCTCTCCCTCTCCCTTCGCCCCTCCACTCATTCACTCTTTCCATAAAATAAACAAATATGGGCTACCTGGGTGGCTCAGTCAGTTCAGCGGCTGCCTTCAGCTCAGGTCATGATCCCAGGGCCCTGGGATTGAGCCCCGCATTGGGCTCCCTGCACAGTGGACAGCCCGTTTCTCCCTCTCCCTCTGCCTGCTGCTCTGCCTACTTTCTCTAGCTCTCTGTCAAATAAATAAAATCTTTAAAATAAATAAATAAAAATAAACAAATAAATCTTTTAAAAACATATATGCTAGTTAAAAGGCACAGAATGGGAGAGTAGATAAAAACACAACCTAACTATATGCTGATTACAAGAAACTCACTTCAAATTCAGGACCTAGGAAGGCTGAAAGTAAAAAGATAAAAAAAACAAATAGCATATAAACATTAGTCCAAAAAAAGAAGTGGCTATATTAATATCACATAAAGCAGACTTCAGAGAAAATATAACTACCAAGGATAAAACAGGGCATCACAAAATGATGAAAGGCTCAACCCACCAGCAAGACAAAGAAATCCTAAATGTGTATCAAACAAACAACAAACCCTCAAAATAGATTAAGCAAGACTGTTCAAGCTAAAAGAAGAGACATACACACTCACAATGGGGACTTCAAAATCCTCCACTTCAGCAACTAGAACTACTAGACGAAAAATCAGCAAGCAGACAGAAGAGCCTCAGCATCAACCAACAGGACCTAATTAACATATACAGCACATTCCATCTGATAGTAACAGAACACAGCTTTTTCTTCCTCCAGAGCCCATGGAAGGTTTAGTGAGACCAAAGCATGGACTGTAAGACAAACTGACAAATTTTTAAAAGTGAAATCATATAGAAGATGTTTTCTGATCACAATACAATTAAATTAGAAATCTGTAATGGCAAATAAAAAAAAGGAGGGGTGCCTGGATGGCTCAGTGGGTTAAAGCCTCCGCCTTCGGCTCAGGTCACGATCCTAGGGTCCTGGGATCTAGCCCCGCATCAGGCTCTCTGCTCAGCGGGAAGTCTGCTTCCTCCTCTCTCTCTCTCTCTCTGCCTGCCTCTCTGCCTACCAGTGATCTCTGTTAAAACAACAACAACAACAACAACAACAACCACCCTGTAATGGTAGGGAAATCCTTAAACATTTGGAAATTAAGCGATATACTTGTAAATAACACATAGGTCAAAGAGGAAGTCTTGAGGAAAACTTAAAAATATGTAGAACTGAATGAAAATGAAGATACAGGGGCACCTGGGTGGCTCAGTGGGTTAAAGCCTCTGCCTTCAGCTCAGGTCATGATTCCAGGGTCCTGGGATCGAGCCCCGCATCAGGCTGTCTGCTCAGCAGGGAGCCTGCTTCCCTTCCTCTCTCTCTGCCTGCCTCTCTACTTGTGAACTCTGTCAAATAAGTAAATAAAATCTTTAAAAAAAGAAAAGAAAATGAAGATACAGCAAATCAAAATAAGGATACAGCTACCACAATATGGAGAGGAAAACTTAAGGAACTAAATTCAATGTATAAAAAGAATCATACACCATGACTAAGTTGAATCTGTTCCAGGTACATAAGGCGAGTTCATACTGCAGTCTGTGAAAATCAATCACTGTAACCCACTAGCTCAACAGGCTAAACCAAAATCACGGTATCACTGATACAGAAAATGCATCTGACAAAATCTAACAACCATTTGTGATAAAATTCTATACCAGTTAGGCCCTTATTAAAATGTAAACTTTTTGCTCTATGAAAGAGTCTACCAAGGATGCAAAAACAAGCTACAGAATTCAAAAAATATATGTACAAACCACATGTCCTCTACCCAGCAAAGGACAAGTATCTAAAAGATACAACTCCAAACTCAGCACTAAAAAACCAAGAATCCAATTAAAACATGGGTAAAAGACATGAACCAACAGGTACATAGAGGACACAAGACAGCAAGTTAAGTGCACAAGGTAGTCAACATCATGAACTATCAGAGAAATGCAAATTAAAACCACAATGAGAAATCATTATACATCTAGAATGACTAAAATAAAAAATAGTGACAATACCAATTGCTGGAGAAGATAAGAAAAAAAAAAATGAACTGGCTCACTCATACTTGCTGATACTGCTGATGGGAATGTAAAATGTGGATGGCAGCTCTGGAAAAGAGCTGGGCCATTTCTTATAAATTCCACACACAATTATCACATCACCCAGCAAGTGCACCCTTGGGTACTTTTCCAGAGAAATAAAACCTATGTACCCACAAAACCTGTATGTGAATGTTCCTAACAGCTTTATTCCTAGTAGCCAAACCTGGAAACCCAGATGTCCTTCGATGGTGAATGGTTCCAGTAACCGTGGGGCACCCATACTGTGGACTACTACTTAGCCAGAATGAGGAAATGAACAACATGTATCCAACTTAGATGAATCTTTTTTTTTTAAGATTTTATTTATTTATTTGACCCAGTCGGGGGCAGGGGGGAGACACAAGCAGGGGTAGAGGAAGAAGAAGCAGGCTCCCCTCTGAGCAGGGAGCCCAACATGGGGCTGGATCCCAGGACCCTGGCATCTTGACCTGAGCCAAAGGCAGATGCTTAACTGACTGAGCCCCCAGGGGCCCCATAAGTCAGATGAATCTTAAGGGAATTATGCTGAATAAGAAAAGCTAATCCAAAAAGATTACATACTATACGATTCCATTTACATAATATCCTTGAAACGACAAAATTATAGAAATAGAGAACAGATTAGTGGTTGCCAGAGGTCAGGAACTGTAACTATAAAAGGACAACAGGAAGGACCCTTGCGATGACTGATCTGTGCTGACTGTATCTACGTCGACCTCTGGGTGGTGGTGGTATACTAGTTTTACAAAAGGTTACCATTGGGAGAAACCAGTAAAGGGTACACAGGATCCCTGTAGAATTTCTTAAAACTGCAGGGAATCTACAACTATCTCAAAATGAAAAGTTTAATTTTTTCAAAAAGCTTTCGTATGAGTTGGGATATGGGGTTCCCTTAAGTCTACATATGAACACCAGGGTCTACTCTTCCAACATCTGCCACATTTCAGCACTAAGTTATTTCCCTCTCCTTCATTTAACTAACACTCTGACAATGTACTCAACAATCTAGACACGAGGTACTGTATTAAAATACACAGAGGAGAATCTGTCTCACCAGGTAGCAAGACTCCGTAACAATGATTTAGAGCACGGAAATGACACAGGACTGACAAACTGACCAACACAACAAAAAGAGAACGCTGAGAAACACTCCCATGCAGACAGAAAACATATGACAGAACAACACTGGTTCTATCTATCAAAATGAATTTATGACTCACGACTATAACCCCAGTTTGAAAAACACTCAGAGAAATCCTTATACATATATATATATACATATATATAGAGAGAGAAATCCTATATACACAAATCCTTCAACATACATGTTGAATAAGAGCACATTTCAACAGTAACAATGTTCCTTGTAGCTCGTTGGTAACAGGACCAAAGTAAAAGAAAATAAAACAAAAACTGTGATCAATCCTAATGCCAGAAGAAGTGATAACACCCTCCAACGGTGTAGTAAATACACAGCAGGCAAAATGAATGAACTGTAGCTACAAGCAACACGGAGGAGCCCCAAAACACACTGCCGCGCGGGAAGCCGTCCCAAACGATTAAACGCCACACGATACACTTCCCAAACACTCAGAAATTAGCAAAAGTGAGCAATATATTACCTAGGGACACATATGTAGCTGAAAAAAATATACACTTTTTAAAAGAGAAGGAAGCACACCAGTTCAAAAAAGTAGTTACTTGGGCTTTAAGGAGGGGAGGCAGGGCCACGGAATAGGGGAAAAGCCGATTAGGTATGTACAACTGTACTGATCAGGTTCTAACTCTTAGACCAAGTGGTGGGGTACGTAGTGTTCACTTGACCACCACACTTCACAATTTACAGGCCTGAACTGCTTTGTATGTATCAAATTACATGCAAAAAGACAATACTCAATAATAGGCAAGAGTCTGACCTAAAATTTTTATCTTAAGACTTTTAGCAATGTTCTCCTGCTCATGAGATATAAATTTTAACAAGCTAAGCCCATCCCATGATTACATGATGAGTTTAAAAAGGACTGGACTAGGGATGCCTGGGTGGCTCAGTGCGTTAAAGCCTCTGCCTTTGGCTCAGGTCATGATCCCAGAGTCCTGGGATCAAGCCCTACATCGGGCTCTCTGCTCAGCAGGGAGTCTGCTTCTCTCTCTGCCTCTGCCTGCCACTTTGCCTGCTTGTGCTCTCTCTCTCTCTGACAAATAAATAAATAAAATCTTTAAAAAAAAAAAGGACGGGACTAGGTCAGGACACAAACGTTCTAATCTCCCCTAGTTCTTGGCTTCTTCATTTGTACCAGGAAGGAGCCAGAGTAAACCTCTGCTTCTCAAGTGGTTTGTCCTGACACACTCATGTTTCACAACTGTCAAGTGTGCAGCCAAGTCACACTAACTAAAGAAGTGAGGTTTGCCCAAAATGTACTTTTCTTGCTAAACAAGAGGCAGAGGCTTTCCCTGTCACCCAATGCTCTCAAGTCACCTGGGTCTGAAGGTGGTTTTGGAGCAGGAAGGGGGATGAGACAGTCCTGTTAGAGTGACTAACGTCCATACAGCTCCTCTTACACGAATACCATTTGTAGGTCAGGAAAAAAAGGTGTAAAAGTCAACAAAGTACAGAAACTGCTTCCCAGGATGGCTTTTGGTCTAAATTTCTGACTTCTAGGCCCAAATAATAAAGAGTAAGAGGTACTCCGAAAGTATGTGTATTTAACTGCATACTGAGATGCATTTATGAGACTTTCCACAGAGTTCACTCAGCACCCACAAGTGAGAACATATACTGGTCTATTCTGGTCTCAGAACATCATGAACAACAAAGGACAACTTAAAGAAAGAGACGGCTTAGCCAGTGCACACAACGATGTACTGTTTTCCTGATCCCCTAACAACCTGGATCCCGAGCGGTGGTAGAGAAATAACGAGGCCTGGTCCTAGAAGACACAACCACCGCAATTCCGGACAGGGTGGGGAAAGCACACAGCAGGCCACGGCACCGCACCTACTGTGTGTCAAATTTGCCGGGAGCTTTATAAGCATGGGTCACTTAAGCTCCACTACAGTCCTACGACCCTTGTTTCGACCACGGAGGACACCGCAGGCTCAGGGAGCTGGAATAACTTATAAGGCACCAGGAGGTGCCACTTTTAGTTTCAGGACATAAACACAGATAAAGGGAAATCTTTGCTTTTGTTACATGGATGGGTACCACAACTAATGTTGAGCTCCCATACAATATACTCAGAGAACTGGAATTTGCAGAGACGACAAGGCTGAGGTTTTCACAGGCCTGTCTTGATGTTATCCATCGTCACACTCCACCGTAAGAGCACTTACAGCAGGAACTAGAGGCGATGGGATCGGGATGAGGTGGGAGGGAGGTATGCAAAAATTGGAAAAATCAATCTCCAGACCCCATCCAAACAGGTCAATAAGAGCCATTCATTCACATCACAGTGTGGTCACCGTGTGAGCTCCAAACCACTTTCTGTGACCTGAGGTAGTGCAGGTAACTAGAGGACACCAGTAACCAGGAGACCTCTGCTCTGACCCATCCTGCTCTCTTGCTAACTAGTTACTCTGACCAAGGACTTACTCTGCTTCCAAGCTTCCCCTTCCGCTCAAACAGCTAATCCTATTTCCCCTGACTCACAGAAGAGTAAGCGAATGGCTTGTAGAAAAGCCCAAGGCTGCAAAGAAGTCAGAAGCACAGATTTCCATCAGGACAGGGACAGAGTCAGCCTGGCACCCTCTGTTACACTTTTGTGTAGTGAATGAATAAAAGACTGTGAATGAATAAAACACGAGTAAACACTGGAGTACTTATTTCTAAAAAGCAGAAAAGATAACTACTTGCCTACCCCTACTGGGCTCCTTTGATATTCAAATGTGATGATGAATGAAACAAGTGATACTGATGGGTATCGTCACTATTTCACAACAAAGGTATGACTGCCAAAGAGGACATTATAAGGAATCTCACACCCAGCAAAGTTAAGTGAGTAAGGTAGGTTAACAACTTCACCTAGCTAAGTGATTTCTTATCAGTGTGGCTTTTGGCCCACAGACAACCCTGATAAATTCAATTCCCCTTGTGAGTGACTCTAGGCAAATCATTTCATCACCTGTTCCAAGCCTGTTTCCTCATTGCTAAAACGAAAATGTTCTCGATTTGTTTGCCTTTCCAATTTCTTTTTCAAAGATTTTATTTATTTTTGCAAGAGAGAGAGTACACGTGTGCAGGGAGGAGGGTCAGAGGGAGCAGGGAGCCCAATAACCCTGGGATCATGACCTGAGCCAAAGATAGACGCTTTACAAAGTGAGCCACCTAGGTGCCCTGCCCTCCCAATTCTACTTCCCCTTCTCATCTCTGTCCTGTGCCCTCCTGTGTGGACCACATCCAGGGAGTCTCTGGCTCTCTCGCTTCCAGCAGGGTTTGCCCAGCAGAAGGCACCAGCAAATGTTTGGAGAGAGAGAGGTCAGGGTATTCCCTCCCTCACCCCAATCCCTGATGGGAAGCTGGGGCTGTACCCCTGCCTAAAGGTCTCCCCTGCTCTCAGGTGCCCTCTCAACACAGCTATTTAGAAAACTGGTCTGTCTTCTCTCTCCCCTCACCTCTTCAGGCCTAGAAGCAGACACAAGGTCCCGCAGTCACTAGCCCTGAGGTACTGCACATCCACTCCTGATCTCTCTGACCACACTTTAATAAACACAGCAGTCCCTTTATTAACCTTCTCTCAAATTATCCTAATCTGAGCAGACCACCTTTCTCCTCCTGAGATCCTGGATTACACAGGAGTTACAAATTATAGATCATGGTACCATCAGGTGCCAGGCACTGGGCTATTAGTTACTGTTACAACTACATGATGCAGAACTTGTTGCTCCCAATTTACAGGTGAGAAAGCTGAGGCTCAGAGAAGTTAAGAAATGTGCCTAAGCTCACACAAACATGGACTAGCTACAACTGGGGCCTCAGCCTCCAGACGCTGAGATTTCTACCATCCCATTTCTATCATCACAGTCACGGTCACTGCTTTGTCTATCATACCGTAGTTCACCATTGTGGGCACTGCTACTTAAAAGGAAGAAAGAAATCTCTTTTAAGTACAATTTCATTGCGATTGCTGACCACAATTTAACGGTGTGGTTAAAAGCGGGAGCTCTAAAAAAAAAAAAAAAAAAAAAAGCGGGAGCTCTGTAGTCGTTCCAAAGTTCGAGACCTGGCTCGCCACTTGCAGAAGTGTAATCTTCAGCAAGAGAATTCCCGCCAAGAGAAGCCTCAATCTCCTCCCCTAAAAAGGGGAATACACTACTTCCTTCCTTGGGTCGCTGTTAGCGTTTAATGGGATATCGCATGCAAAACACCCGGCAAGCAATAAACGCTCAAATGACGGGACCTGTAATGATTAATAGCGGTTTTGCGGCCTTGGCGGCTTCACTACCGCCGGAGACCTGGGAGAAGAGCCGCGACCCGGAAACCTGAGGGAAGGAGCCCGCCGCCCAGCCCCGGACCGACCTGCTCCTCCAGCCGCTCGATTTCCAGCTGGTTCTTCTCCTCCTCTTCGTCATACTCCCATTCGTACTCCCCAGGGGAGCTCTCGGCGGAGGAAGCCATGGCGTACTCCTCGTCCCCATCGCTCTCACTCACGCCTTCCTCCGGCTGGTCCCACCCCGGCCCCACGGCCTTGTACGTCGCAGTGGCCACGGCCCGCGACAACACCTTCCTCCTCGTCCTAGCCGTCTTAACGTCATCCTCCTCGCCCTCCGCTGTGGGCCCGGCCTTGGGCTCAGCCTCCGCTTCTGAAGCCGATGTTGCGGCCGCTGTCGCCATCTTGCGCATCTAGTGACTCCCGGGTCTTCTCGCGGCCGCCGAAGACCCGCTGAAGGAAGAGCTGCCCGCGGCGTGCGCCTGACCTAAACCCCGCTCTCCTTGCGACGGAAAGGGAAACTGTGAGCCTCGAACGACGGGAAAATCTCGGAACCCGTGAAATTTCGTATTGCTTTTACATAGGTATAGAAGTTCTTTCAGAATAAGAACTCCCCAACACGGCATGTGTTTCATCGCAACTTCGGACAGAGATTGGGTCTTTGAACAGGAAGTGTAGGCCGTAGAGGAAGTCATGGAGAGATGACTGAAGGGAAGGGTTTGGCGCCATCTTGAGAAGGTCAAAAGGAATCTGGGAATGAAAGCCTTCCTTACAGCCTTGTCGGATCAGGCGCGTGGTTCAGTCTCCCCAGCAACTGAACCGAAAACGCAGGGAAAACTCCAAGTACCCGGGGAAGGATCGACTGCACCGTTCACGAGAAAAACATATTTCACAGAGCTTCCTCCTTTTTATGTAAACCTGGTGCCTTAAGCGTTAAATACACATGTGGGTTTTCTTGTATGAAATCATGTTCTGCAAGCCAGTATTAATAAATTTCATTACTAAGCGTTTATTAGAAACTCTTCATTTCCAGGCATTGGTCATATAAATATGTCAGCATGCTGATGAAGAGAAATAGATGTAGACATACACATACATACTTTAAAAAAAAATCAGGGTATGGCGTGTTCGTTTTCCGCAATTAAGCTACCATTTTTGAGGTAGGAAAATATTGTTTATTTGCTGCCTTTCTCCCTCATTAGCAAGGTTAATTGTGTAAGGAATTAATGTGTTTTTCTTTGTTGGATCCCCAAAGCCTAGGATAACGCCTTGAATTGCTCTTGAATTAGTATAAAAGCGAGGATCAAGGCTTAAAGAGATTATGTCATTCGCCTAGGGCCACACAGCCGGGAAGGAGCAGACTCCGGATTCTAACCCAGAATTGTCCTTGCTTGAATCTCAAATAAGACTGGGCAATCTTGGAGAAGTTACTAAACCTCTCTGACCCTCAACTTCCTAAACTGCAAAATCGAGCTGTGAACAGTAGTGGTTGATCCACTGAGCCGCATTCCGGCGACGGGTAGGCTTGGTGAACGCAAACTTGGGCTCCCACTCCTGCCTGAGACCCCTCAGATTCAAAACCCCGCGCTCGGAACAAACCCTCCAACTTCAGTCTTTGAGTTCGGTTTCCCGCCCACCCTAGAGGGGGCGTGGTCAAGACCTGACCAAAGGCAGACCTGTGCATGGAGGGGGAGGGCGCAGGCGCGAAGTCGCGGTGACGTAAAAGGGTGCGCGCTCCAAGCCGGGAACCGACGCGCGGGCGCGTCCCTCCCCTCCGTCTCGCGCTCGGCCTAAGCTGGCGCAAGCCGGGAAGATGGCGGCGGCTGGAGCGGGCCGTCTGAGACGGGCGGCGTCGGCCCTGCTGCTGCGGAGTCCGCGCCTGCCTGCCCGGGAACTGTCTGCTCCGGCCCGGCTCTATCACAAGAAGGTAGGGGCAGATGAGGGAATGCGCGGGACCCGCACTGGTAAGGCGGCGGGATGGCGAGGACCAGCGAGAGGACCCAGGTATGCCGGAGCTCGACGGAGGCCGGACCTGGGGAGTGGCTGCGGGGTTATGCGCGGCCTTGGGAGCCCCCACTGCGGCGGGGATAGGGGCCACCCCCTCGCGCGACTCTGACTGGACTACGTTTCCTTTGCTGCACGGATAAAACTAACCGCTGCCCGTGGGCCCCGCCGCTGGCTGCGATTTCGTGCCTCAAAACCCAGCGGCCCAGGAAGGAGGGCCCGTTATGACCTGCCAGCCTCACTCCAGGGACAGACACACTGGCGCGGGCTCCGGCTTCAGGGAGGCCGTTGCCCTAGCCAGATGACCTTGGGCAAGTCCCTGCTCTGCGATGAACCTGTTTTCCCCATTTGTAAAGTGAGTTCTTAGCTTTCCCCTACACGAGATAGATAGTGCTTGTGCAGTCCTCGGCGTGGTGCCCAGCACATGGAGATCATTTACGGTGCAGTTACTGTTATAGGAACTCACAGTCTCCGAGTGGAGTCAGACACGTAATCAACAGTTGCAGTGTTTTAATTTTGTCCTGTTTTTTTGTTGTTGTTTTTTGGTGGGGAGTAGGGGGGACAGCGTCGGGGAATGGGAATAGGTGCATAGTTTGCAGCCCTTGCCTTCCGGGGGCGTAAAGTCCCCTAGAACAGAAACTTTCCCACTCTGGAAACGACTAAGAACGCGGTGAGTCAACATGGGGCAAAAGTCCCCATGAGGTATTATCTTGTAGGTCCTTGGGCTTGGAATCAAAATCCGTGGTCGGGAAGAGACACTGGAAGAAGATCGGGAGACTTAAGGCTAGATTTAAGGCTAACTGGTAGACACGCCTCAAAGTTACATTAAAGTCTCCTGTGTGCCAGTTTGAATAGATACTGTTCTGTCCTGGCTTCAGCTCGTCTGCCAGGGACTTCGCTCCTCCCCTACCTAGGGGTGTGTTTTGTTGACAAAACACCCTCTACGAACGTGGGCTAGCAGCCTTTCAGCCACCAGGGTGCGCTGCTCCACCAGAGTGATTTCCGGGCTTGACATTCAGTAATGGGACGGTTACTGTTTTATCATATACAAATGAATACATTCCATAGCATTGTTCCTCGTATAACATTCTCCTTGAGACCTCTGGGAAATCCTTCGATTGCTGGACCATACTTGTTTTTTGAAAAGTTTTTAATAGTAATCATCCTTTGAGGATGGATTTATTTGGAAATAACCAGAAATGCTGTTTGAGCCCAAATCTGGTGACTTAGGTGGTAAAGATCAGCTAATTATTTGTGATTTAAAAACCCTATGGAGGGATGCCTGGGTGGCTCAGTCAGTTAAGCCTCTGCCTTCAGCTCAGGTCATGAGCCCGGGGCCCTAGTATAGAGCCCCAGGTTGGGCTCTCAGCTCGCGGGGAGTTTGCTTCTCCCTTTCTACCCCTTCCCCTGCTTGTGCTTTGTCTCTTGCTCTCAAATAAAGTCTTCAAAAAAAAAAAAAAAACAACCTATGGATTTAAGACATGATTTTGCTGATTTTTCTCCAGTAACTCAAATTTCTGAGGGTAGTTGGAAAAGAGGTCCAAACGGTTGGGTCATAAAGTCTCACTGACGTAAGTGTAAGCCTTCCTCCCCAGGTGATGTCTGATGCTTAGCGACTGACTGCCTGCCAGGTTCAGCTTGCTGACTTCAAGAAACTTGAAGGAGCTTACCATCAAGTTGGGGAGACAAAAAAGAGTAATCATTGGATTTCTCTTAACCTTCTAATTTCAGGTTGTTGATCATTATGAAAATCCTAGAAACGTGGGGTCCCTTGACAAGACTTCAAAAAATGTCGGAACTGGATTGGTGGGGGCGCCAGCATGTGGTGATGTAATGAAACTGCAGGTACCTCTGGTTTTCGTTTTTAATGGTAATGACAGTAATCCCTTTGCTCATATAGTGCTTCGTTGTTTACAAAGCATTTGCATGCACAGCTTTCCCCTTGGTCTCTGCCTGGATTCCTGTGAGATGATGGGACGGTTAATTGTTATCAATTATTAGGTAGGGACTGAATCTTAGTTGTCCCATACACTGTGCTGACCCTTTCTGGTGTCAGTTTTCTACTCAGTCTATCAGCTTAAATTCCAACTTCAGCCAAGTAGAAAGTTTTGTGAATTTTAGTGAGCAAAGGAAAACCACAACCATTCGGTTAGCAATCCCCAGTGAGACAGGAAATGCCACATATCAAGCCTCCGCCTGATTGGAAACAACACAAAGGTAGTGACTGGCACTTTGAGTAAACTGTAGCTTTGTCCACATCTGCTTCATCGTGGTGAAGGGGCAGCTTGCCAGAGGTCTCCATGCCTACCTTGGAAAACAGAAACAAGGCAGGAGGAAACCACTAGATGTCATTTCATACCAAACTAAAAAGCCCTAACTAGGGACCTTATTACAGACTCTCCCAGTGTTTAAAGATGCAGATTGAGCAGCCAAGAGAACTTCATAGCCAAAGAGAGACTAGAGTTACAAAACCAAAAATTGGGGGTGGAGGGTATATTTTTCAGCTTATCTTTACCCTGTAGGCCTGTATCGTTCTGATGATCATTCCTACATTTTACTCTTCATCACCGAGCCCTTTGTAACAAAACAAATTCAGTAATGAATGTTAAAACTTAGGGTATGGAAAGCAAGACCAAAGCCCTTGGGGAGAGCCTCAGTGAACCCCCTATAAATGCAGGTTCTGTGTGGCAGCACCAGGAACCACTGCTTAACTCCTGTGTCTTTTCTAGATTCAAGTGGATGAAAAGGGGAAGATTGTGGACGCCAGGTTTAAAACATTTGGCTGTGGGTCTGCTATTGCCTCTAGCTCATTAGCCACTGAATGGGTAAAAGGGAAGACGGTAAGTTTGCTTGCAGATTGACAGAATTAAATCACATTTCTGACAAACCTGCCTCTGAGTTAAGGGAAGGGTCTAATTATTAGGGGGAAGGAAGGGAGGGCTGATTTTTTTCAAAATATTCTAAGAATTTCTTTAATTTCTCCTGTTCAGGTTTTGATTAAATTCTTCACATTGAGGATTATGGATCATTTTGTTAAGCTTTTTATTTTGGGGTTTTTTTTTTTGTCGATCATTTTTATTTGTTTGGAGGTTTGGGTGGTGTTTTGTTTAGGGCTTTTTTGTTTTCTGTTTTGGGTGGCGGGGCAGAGGGAGAGAGTCATAAGTAGGACCCATGCCCAGCACAGTGCCCAAGGCAGGACTCAGTCTCATAACCAGGTCATGACTGAGCCAAAATCAAGAATTGGATGCTTAACCAACAGAACCACCCAGGCACCCGTTCAGTTTTGTTTTTAATTAAATAGGAAAAATATCCTCACCTCCCCCACTAACCGAAAAGAACGGCAAAGAACTCTATGGCTTTCTGCAAGGTTGCTGATTACAATTTCTTAGAAGTCTAAGGGTGGGAGAGGCTATATTGTGGTTTGTGTTCTTGTTTATTTCTTTCTATCATGTTTCAAAAAGGATTGCAGGTGGTTTATAAGGGTTCATGAAATAACAAACTAGCCGGTGCGAAAAGGGATTAAAGGATCAGAAACACCAAAGATGGAGGCAAAGGAAACAAATAAATCAGAACAGTGATCCCGGTGGCTGGTCCACAGGCCCTCTGAGGGTGGAAATGAGACAAGCTGGAACACTGTTTCTGTTCTTCTCTCTGCCAAAGCCTCTTTCCCAGAAGCTGCAGAGGTAGAAGGTCCCAAACCTGGTGAAGGACTGGAGTTTCTAAGATCCAGTCATAAAACCACTCAGAAAAGCCAAAATATAGGGCTGCTTATCTTTGTAGCCCCAAGGGACCAGGTTCAGGGGCTGAGTCACAGAGGAGTGTGCATGGGGAGCTGGGCGGCTCTACAGCAATGCTGGGAGCAGGGCCACGTGCCCCCGGCTTCCTGTGGCTCCGGGCCTTCTGGCTGACGAGCTCCCTGGGCGAGCACAGACCTAACCTGATCTGGAGGAGATGCCTCTGAAGCAATTTGTTAAGACCTATGCTCCGGGAAAGGGGAAGCAAGACAAGGCACCTGTGCTCCCAGGATCTGGCCTTTGAGCTGTGATCAGAAAGAGGAGGAAGAGGGCCTTTCTTTGACCTTGTGGTCCTCTCTGAGTTTCTAAGAACAGAACGTGAAGCATTATCCTTGAAGTCAACAGAATTGGGAAATTGGGGGACAGAAGGGGAACTCTGGCTCCTCTTAAGGCAGCAGGGCTCCTTCCATGTGGGCCTCCTTCACGTGTCCTCGGACACTCGAGCAAACTCAGGGCATCCTTTCCAGTCTGTTTGGCCAAGATAGATTCTCTTCCGGCAGAGGATGATCCCAAGACCGGTCTGTGCCACTGCCAAATGCTAGAGTGCCACTGGCCTATTTGCCACCTCTCTGACCGCCCTGACACCATTCAGCACTTCTGGTTGAAGGGATTTATTCTAAACATTTGGTGTAAAGACATCACCGAAGCTGATCCTCACAAAACCAGAATAGGAGAAATCACTGCCTTTAAATAAAAAAAAAAAAGCAAGATTCCTGTTGCTGGCCTGAAGCGGACCCCTAAGAGCGGTCACGGGCTGGCTTGTCGAAGTGTCTTTGCCGGCAGTGCTTACCCCAGCCACGCCACACGACGGAGTGTGTACTCCGTATCGCAGAGCCCCAGCTGCAGCCTTGACGCACAAGTGTGCGTCCTCAGGGGTTCTTAATGGCAGTCATCCCCACCACCCCATTCTGAGGGCCTCTTTGGCCTCCTTTTTGATTGCCTGTTCCTTGAGTTAGAGCTTCACTGAGACTGTCCCGCTCTCCTCCATGCCTCTCAGGTGGAAGAAGCCTTGACGATTAAGAACACGGACATCGCCAAGGAGCTCTGTCTGCCCCCCGTGAAGCTGCACTGCTCCAGTGAGTTTCCGCTCTGTAATGCCCACGAGCTTGCACGGCTGGGAGCATTTCTGTAATGGCATTAACTGGCATTTGTGCGGAGTAATGGCGAGGCCGTGTTGGTTGTGGCGTCCGTAACCTTCAGATGGCAAAAGCCTCGAGGCCTCACTGCCCATCTCCAGGAGGGTCTTAACAGGAGGTGGGGTGTGCTGGGCGTCATGCGAGCACTTCGTGGCGTCATTTCTAAGCCTCAGGAATGTCCTCTAGTCCACAGACAGCATCATTATCTCTCCCTCTTACCAGGAAAGCGGGGCTCAGCTTAAAGCACCCCAGTCACATGGCTTCTAAGTGGGAAAGCCAGGCCCTAAGCCCCAATCTTTGATTTTAGAATCTGTGCTGGTCCCACCCATTGGAGTCAAGTTTGGACCAGTAAAGGAGATAATTCTGCTTCTGCCATCATTCTGTCGCATGTGTTACCACTTCCTTCCCAGGTGCTGTTACTGTGTATATAGTCTGAGTCCGTGTATACAGATTGACTAAGTCCAGTTGTGCAACAGTCCCCTGTACACTGTCCTAGGAGAAAGCCTAGATGACTTAAGACTTATACTTGGCTTTCCAATTTGGCCTTTTTCTTAAATCTAAAGTGTTTTCCATCTTCTCTCAACCTTCTAGGGGAAGGAGGAATGAGAAACAGTAGCCTTAACTTACTGACCAAATTAGTTTAAAATCAGCAGAGAGCCAGGCCTCTTGCCAGAGTAAGACTCACAAGGAAAATCGGGGGCAGGGATGTGCTAACAGTCGTCAGGAAGTCTACTATGACCCGAGTTCTTTCCACCCGAGCTGGGATTCCCCAGTATGCAGGAATAAAGGCCATAGCTTGTCGACATTTTCATAAAACCCCCAGCCTCTTCATTTGGCCTTCTTGGGCACCGCCACCTTTAGCTGCTCCTCTCTGCCTGTTGCTTACTATTTCCCCCCATAGTCATTATAATTCTGACTCCAAAGTAAAAGTTTTCAAAGTTGGGATCCCTCCAGAGGATGTGGCAGTTGCCACCTGTCAATTAGTGGCATGACCCACGTTACACCAGCTTGCTCAGCCAGCATCCGCTACATTTACTCCAGACTTCCCTGGGGACAGATGAGAACGGACGTCTCTTGTGGCCCTCTGACATGTCAGTTTATTAAGCCCTCACCCTATCCCAGCAAAGGGAGAATGTCCCAGTTTTATAGAACAGAAAGGGGATTCCAGGAGGCTGAGGCTAGCCTAGAATCCCAGGTATTTAAACTCTAATCTGCCTCCGAAGCCACGGACAGGCGTAATCAGGCTCAGGAAACGGCTGGCTGGCTTTCCAGGCTTGCTCCTCACTCCCCACCCCCCAGCCGGGGGGTTCTGATAAGCCCTTCCCCAGCGCCGCTGCCCTCTAGCTCTTAGAGGTGTGATGCCCAAGACCCTCTCTGTACAGTCTACAGACTGAGGCTCTTTCCTTGTGCTCTTTCCAGTGCTGGCCGAAGACGCAATCAAGGCTGCCCTAGCAGATTACAAACTGAAGCAAGAGCCCACGGGAGAGGCAGAGAAGGGGGAGGGGAAATGAGCCCTCGGCGAAGCATCTAGCGGGCCGACCTGCTGTGTGTACACCCACCGCGCCGTCGCTGCAGATGTTCAGAACCCCCACCCCACCACAGTAAAAGAGCTCGGAGTCACGCGCAGCGCTTGCTGGTCACGTGGCGGCTCCCATGCCTGCAAAATACACCGTTTACTTGTCCTAAGTCCTGTGCTTTCTTTCGGCCCACTCTTAGCGCCTTAACCCCGTTTGTATATATTTTGAATTGTGCGCGTGGCCTCTAGCTGAAATCAGTCACAAATTCTCAAGTGTGGTAGTCAAAGTGTGCAAATACCTAATTTCACCTGAAACTGTCTTGGGGAAGAGTACCAATACGATTATTTGATAGAACCAATTATTGTACATAAAACAGATGTGCATATATATATATATATATAATAAAGGATATAAGACCATGTTTTTCTCTGAAAAGCCTTCTCTCTTGGATCCCTCACTCGCTCCAGGGTCCTGCCCGGAGCCCCCTTGGGGCTGCCAGCTGCTGGGCTGTGATGACACTCGTACCTTTCTGAGCAAACCGGACAATAAGGCCCATGGGCAGAGCCGGCCAGACGTGTGTCACGTTTTACAGAATGGGGTCGAAGGTGAAAGGAGAGCGCCATCTCTTTTTGTTGTTCTTTGCAAAGTAGTAGATTGACAAATCAACATGAGTCCAGAATACTCTATAATTTCACTGGTTTGTGAAACACTAAAACCTGAGAAACCCTGGCCCTGACAATCGCAGAAAGTCACGGAGCAACTGGGGGGAGGGGGTGGAGCCTGTGTCTGGGGGGCACCCACCTGCCTGCTGCTGGTGGCCTTGTCACCTTCCGGTAGAAGTGTGGAGTTGGTGGCCACCAGACTGGGATGAACTGCGCACTCAGTGGAAGCAGCGATGCCAAACCAAGCCACGGCCGGTGCCACGGCGGCTGCCGGACCGCCCTCTGGCGCTGTGGAATTGGCAGGCCCTTAGGTCTTGCAGGCCACGAAGCACGTGGAGCCTCGGGCAAAACAAGCTGTTCAAAGTCTACCAAAATCTGCTTTCAGGGTACCACCACCGCGGGGGGGTTGACCCCAGATGACAAAACGTTAAGCAGCGCGAACGCAGGCATAAGGCCTACTGCCACTGAAGGACAAAGGAGCTGCTCACCTACAAGTGATGCTTTTAAAATCACCCCGACAGGAGGATCTCCACACACAGCAGCCAGAAGGGACAGAGCTAACGATTTTCTAGAAGGCAAAGCTAAAAACACGAACAGATGATGAATTTAAAATTTTACTAGTTTATGTATAGAGGTACCAGCTCTTACACTAAAATGCCCCAGCTACAAATGTTAAAAATGATGTAGCACAGGCTGCATCAAAAGCCTTGGTGTCCCTCTCTTTGTATGTGAGGATCTTCAATCAGATTATAGAATATTTGGAGATTCATACTCAATAATTGTGGGTAAATGTATGCAATTTGAGTAGAAACATGGATATTACTCATGTAGCAAGTTATTTGGTACCTACTTCACAGCAAAGTGAATGTGCCCATCTGCGCTCAAGGGGCCCCCAATCTAGTGCGAGAGTGATAAGCTGGTGATTAAAATCCAGTGTGATTAATACTGTGATGGAATTAGCACAGGCCGTTGCTCCTCTCATTGGGAGGAAAGGCTGCTGAGCTTTCAGAGAACTGGCCCAGCTGCTTGGAACCTTGAAATAAAAAATGAATTTAGCCACAACTTTGACCCAAGAAGTTGATCTAGGTATGTATACATCCCTGATGGAATTCAGATTTCATACATTAAAGGCTGTAACAGTAGGAGTCCTAAAAAAAAAACAAAAACAAAACAAAAACAACAACAACAACAACAAAAAACTCCACCTGGGGGTCAGTTGAAAATGGAGATTTCTAGGCCCAGCATTTGGCTTTAGGCCTGTGCAGGTGATTCTAATGCCTGTGACTTCGGGTGGCTGCCGGCAGTTCTGGGGGGCAGGGGAGCCAAGCCACAGGGGAGCAGTTGGCTTTGTCCAGGCTCCGTCCTGCCCTGCACAGGTGTGCTGTTCGAGTAGTTCATTCCGAACGGTCTGTCCGTTTACGGTGACCTGAGTTTTTTTTTTTTTTTTTCAGAGCTTGAACCAAGTTATCTTTATGATTTCTTCCAAACTTGTTATTTTACAAATCTGTAAATTTGGTATTGCTGGCAGTTAGATGATTGATATAGTCATTCATCTGTATCCCACAGTATTATGTTTTTTTTTTTTTTTAATTTTATTTTTCATAAACATATAATATCTTTTTATCCCCAGGGGTACAGGTCTGTGAATCGCCAGGTTTACACACTTCACAGCACTCACCATAGCACATACCCTCCCCAATGTTCATAATCCCCCCCCCCCACCCCCCCCCCATTAACCCTCAGTTTGTTTTGTGAGATTAAGAGTCACTTATGGTTTGTCTCCCTCCCAATCCCATCTTGTTTCATTTACTCTTCTCCTACCCCCTTAACCCCCCATGTTGCATCTCCTCTCCCTCATATCAGGGAGATCATATGATAGTTGTCTTTCTCCGATTGACTTATTTCGCTAAGCATGATACCCTCTAGTTCCATCCATGTCGTCGCAAAAGGCAAGATTTCATTTCTTTTGATGGCTGCATAGTATTCCATTGTGTATATATACCACATCTTCTTTATCCATTCGTCTGTTGATGGACATCTAGGTTCTTTCCATAGTTTGGCTATTGTAGACATTGCTGCTATAAACATTCGGGTGCACGTGCCCCTTTGGATCACTACGTTTGTATCTTTAGGGTAAATACCCAGCAGTGCAATTGCTGGGTCATAGGGTAGCTCTATTTTCAACATTTTGAGGAACCTCCATGCTGTTTTCCAGAGTGGCTGCACCAGCCTGCATTCCCACCAACAGTGTAGGAGGGTTCCCCTTTCTCCGCATCCTCGCCAGCATCTGTCATCTCCTGACTTGTTAATTTTAGCCATTCTGACTGGTGTGAGGTGGTATCTCATTGTGGTTTTGATTTGTATTTCCCTGATGCCGAGTGATGTGGAGCACTTTTTCATGTGTCTGTTGGCCATCTGGATGTCTTCCTTGCAGAAATGTCTGTTCATGTCTTCTGCCCATTTCTTGATTGGATTATTTGTTCTTTGGGTGTTGAGTTTGCTAAGTTCTTTATAGATTCTGGACACTAGCCCTTTATCCGATATGTCATTTGCAAATATCTTCTCCCATTCTGTCAGTTGTCTTTTGGTTTTGTTAACTGTTTCCTTTGCTGGTGACCTGAGTTTTAAAGAACAGCCATCCCTGGCCCAGCATGCCTAACATTCTACCCACTGTCCCTCCTGAACCCTGTCTGCGCCCCAGGGTTGTGTATCATTCCAAGGTACCCACAGTCCTGCATCAGCCAAAATCCCACTAAAGGAGGCCCTGGGATCTAAAGTACCAGCTAACCATTTGAGATCTCCTTCATCTCTTCAATAATGAGATGTGCTTTTTTCTGATGGTGGGTTTTTTTTGTCCAGGCATGGGCTGGCTGTCTCTTCTCTTAAATATACCTCCTTTGTTAAAAAAAGAAAAAGAAGAAAAGGAAAACAAAACAAAACAAAACAAAACGTCCCTGAGTCCTGGAGAAGTGCACAGAACTTCAAAGGCCATTCCCTCCATGGCCTGTGGAGAGGGCCAGGGCCTTCCTAAGACTTTTCGGTTAGGGCCGCCGGGTGGGGACATGTCAGGAGACATGTCAGATTGGTCTGCGTGGCACATGCTGCCATTTCAGCCCCTCTGAGCTAAGCTGGTCTCCTTCCTTGCTTCATCATATGTGGCAACACTGCAATTCCCCCACCGCTTCTCTTTGTAATTTAGAAAAACGAGATCTCTCTGCCAGGGTGAGTATCCTCTGAGAGTTGAACCAGAATTCTGCACGTCACAGGCCGCTCCCAAACAGCTCGGGCAGTATTGCCAGAACAGCCCAAACCTCAAAATACGCGGTTGTGCAGCTAAAAGAATTTCTGTGACTTACATTCCAGACTACCCCCACACACACCCCCGACCCCGCTTTGCCCAAACAAATCTAGTTTTAACCACAGGAGGGCATCGCATGCCCTTGAATGAGCTTAAAGCTAGATCTGAGTGTGTCGGAGTCAAACTTCCTCAGGGAGATGTGTGTATCCCGCACACACGCCCTGGGCCAGGCCCTCACAATGGTATTGTGTTCCCTCTCGTGACAACCCTCCGAGGTGGACGTTATTTAAACCAACTCAAGCCAAAGCCCAGGCTTCACCTTCCTGGTTTCCTTCTGGCAGAAACACCAAAGATTCCGACCGACCGTACATCAGACGCTCACCTGGGCCTTGAGCCTTCACAGGAAGAAGATGCACCAACACAGGACAAGCCCCAATCCATTCATTCAGCCATCTCGGCCCCAAGCACCAGGGCCCTTACCTGGCTAATGCATCAGAACTGCCAGGGAGCCCAGTTTAACCCCGACACCCCGTTAAATCTCATGGCCTGGCGGTGGGGTCTGGGCGCTGGTGTTTCTGCCCATCTCCAAAAAAGCTCCTGAGTCCCTTCCTCTCTCGACCCTACACCCCCACCCCCCTAGCATCTGCCTCAGTCTAGACCTTCCTCCTCTCTCCTGGCCTCCCCACTGGTCTCCCTGCCTCCAGCCTCACTGCTGGGATCCACGTTGCACGTGACTAAACAAAAGTGACCCTGCCCCTGGCTCCCTAATTGTCCATACTTTTCCTACCACATCGATGGATTTGCTCCAGGATGCTGAACCTTCCCCTTAGGACTTCCCCTTGTTATTCCTTCTGCCAGGAATGCCCTCGCCAGGGGTCTTCCCTTAACCTCCGCTCGGGCTGGGAGCCTCATCTCAGGCATCACCTCCTC